AGTCCAGCCGTTTTCGAGTTTTAACGAGACTAACGAACAGCAATTCATTTTTATATACATATATAGATTAACTTCGGTTTGCCTTATTTTATGAAAACTGATAGAGTGGTTACACTGTTTAGTTTTATTTATTTTAAGCGCATCCCAAGAAAATGTCAAACCAACACAATATACATTTTCTTAACTCAGTTATCATATTAATTTTATTAAGGAAAGTGAAAGATACGTCAAAAGCACATCTTGTTACTAATAAGTTTTACATTTATTACCTCTCAATTATCTTTAACAATGTGTAAGCTAATGTTACGCGCTGGGGTTTGGGATAAATAAAAATGTTCCACCAAAGTACAAGTTAACACTGTATTTGTACTTAAAACACTTCACAAACACTTTAAAATTCTGAATTCACTTCTTCCGCTTCGCTTCAGGTGATCCGTTCACTGTTTCGCTTTGAGTAGTTCCGATTACTAACTAACTACATGCTATCTCTGTAACGCTTTTATAGCCGATACCACATACCTAGAATTATCGAGAACATTCCACACATCTCTAGTATTGTGTTTCCGCTATCTGACAATAGATGGCGTTGTACTTCTCGGGCGTTCTAGATGCTACTAGATCCTTCAATATTCGTTCGACTATTCGGCGATAGATGGCGTTACTCTTACCGACGTAACACTAATTAATATACATAAATAAATAATGAATTTCAGATGAGAAGTCAACAGAAAGTCGCGCGGTCCTAGACAAGCTGGAGAACATTGACAGCGAAACTGATAACTTGGACATAACCTTCGTTAAAATGCAAGACCCGAGATACGCTCGGAAGTGGGGGGTGACCAAACTGCCAGCCATAGTCTACTTCAGGAAGAGATTCCCCAGCATCTACCGAGGTACTCTAGGAGCTTGTGTCACGACAGATGAGCACACGGACTACCCAATGTTAAGCGAGTACCGGTGTTCACAGACACTCCATGGAGTTAGCACGACGTGTGCGCGAGAGCACGGCGCGGCCTGAAGAAAGCTTCATATAATTTTTATAATTAAAAGCTTCCTACATTAATTAATAAGTAAATTTAATATTACCTCAAATCTATACTAATATTATAAAGCGGAAGAGTTTGTTTGTTTGAACACGCTAAGCTCAAGAACTACTGGTCCGATTTGAAAAATTCTTTCAGTGTTAGATAGCCCATTTATTGAGGAAGGCTATAGGCTATATAACATCACGGTAAGATACAAGCGGAGCACCAATAAAGAATGTTTCAAAATAGGGGTTTAAATAGGGAGTACACATAGACGTGTTGCTTCAGGTGACCTCATGTCGGAGGAGGAGGTCCTGGAATGGCTGCGGAAGAACAGGTTCCGTCAGCCCGAGCTGAACATATTCATGTACGCGCTGCTGGCGCTCTCCGTGGCCTTCATCATGTACACCGCCTTCCTGCTGCAATGCTTCAAGGCGACGCCTCCAGCTCAAACACAGCACCCGAAACAAGCGTGAGGTCTGGTCGGTGTCTCACGGTCGCCTTGTCCGTGAGGCCTGTTGTGTTACTGCATCGCTCCTTCGTTACCAATGATGGTATTTTGGAAGTTCTAAAATTGAACGTTTGTGTACTATTTTTTTAATTCTCGTTAAATGCGTGGAGCGGTTATTTCTATTAGATTCTTTGAATTATGTTAGTTATACAAGTTCTTGGGATCAAATTAATAGGAAATAGATTTGTTAGAGATCGTGTGCTTCGCAGAGAACTGTTGTAGAAACAAAATGGCCATATAATGTAAATTGATGTTGTTCGAATGTCCTCTTTAAGACTGTCTTGTTCTTCAATAGCTGAATTTATCTTTAAGATTAAGTGTTCGTTTTATTTTTACCTTAAGTACTTGTATTATTTTGCAAGGTGTAGGAGTACCTTAAATTATTATCTTAATTATTTTTTCTCAAATCATGTCTTGAGCAACGACATTAGAATGTATCTATGTTAACATGGTCTATTTCAAAGGTGTAATTCGTTTTACTTATTATTTTGTATACTTTGTGTTTGGACTATTTAATCAAATAATTACTGGCGATGGTTTGTTTTACCCCTTGGTTTGTCGATGTTTGTGAATGATTACAAGTTTTGGTCATGAATAAAACAAAACTTGCGACATAAATATTTATAATCGTAATTATATTAATAGTCCCTCATTTTGATCCACTTTCATGCCACTTCAAGACGCGTTTTTAAAATTAGTTTTAATATTAGCGTATTAGTCTTCCGTGAATTCACTCGCAAAGTTTTCTTGCTTTTGTATTTAAGGCTTCGTCAAACAGAGCGCGTAATTAGCGCGCGTCAGAACGCTAAACTGACGGCGCGCTGTGACGCCGAGATGTGTTGTATTACTATGGTAACATACCGTCAAACAGAGCCCCAGCTCTATAAATACGCAACGCTCTGTCGCGGCGTTAGGGCTGTTTCACAGTATATTACCATAGTAGTACTACACATCCCGGCGTCATAGCGCGCCGTCAGTTTAGCGCCCTGACGCGCGCTAATTACGCGTTCTGTTTGACGAAGCCTTAACGACTGTAAATGTATGCTGCAGAAATTAGATACGCTAATTTAAGAAATCCTGTTTTTTTTTTCTTTTACGACAATTTCTGAGTTAAAATGTCCAAATTACCTGTATTTTTGTTGGTTGGAGTTCAGTTTCTGCGTGTCTGTCCAATTGGCGGGACTTGGACGCCCGCGTGACCGTTTCACAGAAAATAACGAAAATAAAACAGAGTGAAATGTGGGAACACGCCCGAAACATTCTATATCATTCCCGCTCGTGTATAATATCGATTTGTAATTATATTTAAACCTTCAGGTTATACTCGTATGTATTATATATCATAGTTTCATTTTAAGATCGTGTGAGAAACGCATGAAAAACGACAAATATATTTTATAACTACGACACATTTGACAGATTGCATGTTTTTTTTTAATTTGACCACACGTAAGTACATTATTTAGAGATCTATCACGCAATTTTGCTAAATACAGGCGTTTTAAAAGGAAGATCTCCGATCTAGTGTTTTGACAAACTGAAGAAGATTTTAAAATACATTAAATGTCCAATTTAATATCGCTTTCATCACTTTCATACCACAACTCCGAACGGATCCAAAACTATTGTATTCATAATCTCTACGACTCAATTTGATTTAATATTTGTAAAGTTAACAACTTGGCGTCGCTCGATGGAGCAGGAGCTAGGGGTCTTGGGCATGACGTGGGAGGAGCTAGAACTGCCCAAGACCGATGTAAATGGAAAAATTTGATTCGAGCCCTACACCCCTGCAGAGGAATGATGATGATGATTTGTAAAGTTATAATTGCGTATCAAGCAATTGTTCCGAATGCGTAGTCGCTCGGACAGAGGTATCGGAGTTGCTAGGTTCCTATTAATCTGATATAAAGTTACATAAAAAAACCTTATAGCTAAAAGCGTTTAAAATTAAAAATTGTTTTATAGTAACGTAAATAAGTAATGTACGTCGGATCCCGTGTGACGAGCTCAATCGAGTGAAGCGTCTACATCTGCGCTGTTTTAATTATAATAATGTATATAAAAATTGTAAATATATAAATAAATGAATGTAGTGAATTCGTTTTTTTTTTCTATTATTTCCGTATTAAGATTATAAGCAAGAATAGTTTTATCAGTACAAAGAGTTTATCATCTAAAATAAAATATTAATTTCTAATTTAAATGTTTCAATTGAGCGTATCGTTTTAATGCTGCAATTAAGATATAGACAAGACGATAATACGTACTAACTTGGCTTACTCTGATAACGGTTTAATTTTTCATATCACAACGTGAAGGGCTTGTGTATTTAACGGGCGGAAGAGTCGCAATACATTTGGGACTTTTTTGTTTATTGCTGAGATAGGTGGACGAGCTCACAGCCCACCTGGTGTTAAGTGCTTACTGGAGCCCATAGACATCTACAACGTAAATACGCCACTCACCTTGAGATATGAGTTCTAAGATCTCAGTGTAGTTGCAACGGCTGCCCCACCCTTCAAACCGAAACGCATTACTGCTTCATGGCAGAAATAGGCGGGGCGGTGGTACCTACCCGTGCGACCTCAGAAGAGGTCCTACCACCAGTAATTACGCAAATAATAATTTTGCAGGTTTGATTTTTATTACACGATGCTATTCCTTCACCGTGGATGTCAATCGTGAACATTTGTTAAATACGCGTTTCGTTAGAAAAATTGGTACCCCCCTGCGGGATTCGAACACCGTTGCATCGCTAGATATCAATGCACCGGACGTCTTATCCTTTAGGCCACGACGACTAAAATCAGCCATCGACCGCCATCTCATATCTCAAGGCGGATAGGATATTTTCGGGAAACATCCGGTAAACATTTAACATCGGATGGGAACGAACTATGAACTAAACAAGCAACACGCCCTATCAACGAATAGGTTTTCCTAAAATTCACAGGTTTTAATAATGCGATATTACTATTACATAATAATCGTGGTAGTGATTCTGTGTGAATTACAACGCTATGACTCCTTGCCACCAGCACTTATAGCGGTAAGAGCAGTGATTACCTTTACATCTGATGCAACAGCCTGACAAGTTTCTCAAAGCAAACAATGAGAAAAGCCAGAAAATAGTATTAAAGCTTCGTCAGGAAAAGTATGCGATACGAAATGGCCATCGAGAATGATGATTATTAACCTAATGACTCCTAATAACCAAATGAAGAATTCGCTTTTAGCCTTTTTGTTAAAAATAACTAAACAGTATAAATTTTTAACCAAAATATTGTTAAGGTGGCGTGAAAAATGACATCTTATGTAATAAACTAATCGAAAAAGGCAAGCTTGATAATAAGCCCGATTACTGGTTCTTCTTAGGACCTGACTCCGTTTAGACTGGCGCAAGAGTAGAGTACATTTTACAGTTAATTCAAAACCTCCATTAAAAAATAAAAATCATCCAAAATTTTATTAAAACTATAATAAAAATGACTAACGATACAAAATAATGTAAAATGATAACATTAATCAGTCTGTAATTAAGGCACATACATTGCTAACACGTCCGTTTTTACTTTCAAGTTTTTAAGCGTTCCACATGATCGCGACAGCCGCATGATGTCCATGAACATAAGCTTACATTAAATGGAGACTGATGTAGATATGAATCAAACGTAAGATAAATATTTTCTGTTTCAGACGGTACCTAATTCAATATTTTTTTCATACAAGTTTTTTTGATCATTTTAGAAAATAACAGAGCTCAATATTCGGTGGCCGGCATTAAGAGAGATCTTCGTCCAGCCGTGGGCTGTTGCGGATGATGATGATGGAACACTATCACTAAAAGCGTTCATTGTAAAACATTCCTAGACTCAACAATTAACAGTTACTTTGTGCCGAAAAATTTCATTGTGATATAAATTCAACTAGGTGATAACAAGCTGCACTTCCTCGTGATTCTTCAAGTACTTGGACTTCTCGTTCTCGAAGAGCTGGACGAGTCGCTTCGTGAACTCCGCGTGGACCTCATCCACTTCCTCGTCTGTGGGCTCCAGGTTCCTCGTCACCTCCATCGGAGCACCCACTGAAAGGAAATACTTTTCTTCATTTTGAGATGCATTTCATATGGTTTTATTAAGCCAGCTCGTGTACAAAATTGCACTATGCACTAATTTATGTAACACCACACTCGCGTAAGTTATGACGGGCCTTATGCAATCTTTGTAAAGTGTTATCTTGTTCCGAAGGGACATTTTACTCCGCTTACAGATCATAGGATAAAGTCGGCAGAGAGTAAACGCGGCACGGTGGCGGACTGATTTAATGTGCGGTCGGAATGTCATTGATGCATCCAGGATCACCCAGGTCGTTATTAAAAAAAAACAAATATGAGCGGACAGAGAATGGAGCCTTGCGGGTTCCCTCTACTCGATATCGAAAAGAGCGGTTCGACAAAAAGTCCCGTATGATGAGCATGAGACTGTCCGGCACGCTCATGTTGCATACTTTGAAAATCAAACCGTTGTGCCAGACTTTGTCGAACGCTTTTGCGACATCGAACAGGAGGGCTCCCGTGTATATCGGTTTTGGTCGGTCAAGCCCTACGACAATATGCTCCGTGAGGCGGTGCACCTATTGTACGCATGACGTATTGTTTATAAATACGAGTACCACCATTCTGCCGGTTTCTGCCGCATATAGCGACGAGTTCCGGTTAAAAGAGTTTTACACTATACACGTCGACTTCGACCTTGTCTAATCCTAAGTGTATTTAATTGGTAATTAGTAGCTTTAGTTCCTTACACATAAACTAAACAACACGTGCTAGATATGAACGAGCAAAGTCTAGATTACTATGTCTAGGTTACTAAATGACCTTATCTATGTTATTACAAATACGACGCGCTGGCAACAGAGATAAATAAAGGTTGTTATTGAGATCTGCAATATTATTTTGTAAAATGTAGGTATATGTATTTGCATTGTAAAATCATTCGCTCCCTAAGCTTAGCAGTCAAAAAGGATTTATCACAATCTACTGGTACGGTTGCCTTATCTAGAGTAAAGTAAATTACCTACATTCTTTATTGTAGAACGATAATACATTCAAAAAGAAAATATGCGATATTTAAAGTATAAGCTGCGGTCTTAATGTTAAAAGTGATAGGTATATTCTGAATATTAGAGAACAACAATCAAGTCTAAAGAATATTAATTGCGGCGTACTACATAGTTATGTACAATTCGCAATTATTTAACTAAATTCACAGAGAACAATTAAACCCTATTGTTTAAATAAATCATTCCGAAAGACGTTAACAGTGCAGTTACTTGCGGTAGTACTCCTAAGCTAATCAAATAAAAAAAAAAAAAATAATTCAACATAAATGAAAGTACATACTTGTTGAACGTCAAAAAGAACTACCGCCAATTCACAAAAACTAGCCTCCGTCCTGAGAAGAACTGGCAAGAAACTAAGCGGGCATGTCTTTTTTTTTTTAAATATCAGTTTTTTTTTTAAATAGTAGTTTTTTTTTTAAATATTCATATTCATATAATAAGCTGGTGTTGCCACACTGTCGATTTTACCACCGATTCTCAATTTAGGTTCACCACTAAGAAGAACCGGCGAGGAACTCAGGGATTCCTTTTTTCTTTTGCACTCATTATGTAAGTGACTAAATTCTTCATCAAAATTAAAACTTAATGTTAGTGAAAAACACATTTAAAAAAAAAAAAGATTCTAAATTTTTTTTTTTTTTTCAAACCGACACGCATTACTGCTTCACGGCAGAAATAGGCAGGGCGGTGGTACCTACCCGCGCGGACTCACAACAGGTCCTACCACCAGTAATTACGCAAATTATAATTTTGCGGGTTTTACTTTTATTACACGATGTTATTCCTTCACCGTGGAAGTCAATCGTGAACATTTGTTGAGTACGTATTTCTTTAGAAAAATTGGTTCCCGCCTGCGGGATTCGAACACCGGTGCATCGCTTCAACATTATTGCATCGGACGTCTTATCTTTTAGGCCACGACGACTTCAATTTATCCGAAATGTAAGTTAAAGTTTGAAGTTTGTCAGTACCTTTGCCATAAAAAAAGTCTCGCTACAAAATTAGCAAGACCAAGAGATTGTGTGATTTAATTAAGTCATTGTGATATTGAATCTTATGTGTGTGTACCCTGTGCATAGCATTAAATTAAAATGCTAAGAGAATAGCTTTTTACATTACATTCATTTGATTGAAACAACCGTAATGCAACACTTTATAACACGGGAATTACAAATTCTAATAAGTAATGTTGCAATCCTATACTCGGCGATTAAACCGTATCTGTTCGTCTGTCTGTCTGTCCGTCTTTATTTCAACCCACAGACGTTCACTACTGCTCGAGCGCCTCCAAAGGAGACCTAACAGCTCAAGAGCAGCTGCTTCGCGAATGAATCTACTACCGGATCGGAATCGCGACCCGTTGAGAAGATCCGGCGAGAAACTCAGCAGGGTGATTCATGTGTTAGGTTGCAAGTCGAAAGTGTTAGGTTGCAAAGTTTGTCGAGTTCTACGAGTACGGTTACCGGGTCCCTAAGCCTACTCCTAGTGTTAGAGCTGAAAGCGTCTAGTGCAAAGGTTATAGAATCTGATGAATCCGTAAGAACGTGTTGTTTCAAATACTATTAAGCATAACAAAGCTTTCAGCCAGTACAATAGTATTAAAGTTGTGAAATGTACTTTTCATGAATTGTCAACAACAATCGCTTTCAACAATATTGTCGTGAGCTCGGCCGGTCCATATCCAATCTCAAGCCTACTGTCCTGCTGCATGGACGAAGAGAACGCACGCTGGCACTGCGGTACAAACGCGAGTAGGAACAGGAAAACGCAAATAACTCACCAACAGTTGTAACGGGACTCCTGAGAGGTACAACCCCGAACGAATACTGGAACATGCCCCTCCCAAGAGGGAAGACCGGCGACACTCCAGTTATCTGACGCACTTTTTCTTGTATCCTCCTCAGCAGGCTGTTCTCGGGGTTATTGAGAGGTCGGAAAACGTCAGTTTCACCGAACGAAAAAACGGGTACAAGGGACGCTCTGGAATTATAAAATTTTATGTCAAGCTAGCTGACCCGGAAGACTCCGTAGTGCCTCAATCGATAAATAAAAGACCTAAACTTTTGTATAAAATTAACTTCAAACAAACAAAAGAAATCCGTCCGACGGGGGACACATCATAGGGAAAACCAAATTGTTACTTTTATTTAATTCCGATATTTTCATATTTATCTACCTTTTAAACTTTTTCTGGACTTCCACAAAGAATTCAAGACTAAAAGTAGCCAAATCGGTCCAGCCGTTCTCGAGTTTTAGCGAGGCTAACGAACAGCAATTCATTTATATATATAGAATAGATAGATAATGCAATGCAATTTAACCATTATTTAAAGATTTAAGTAGTTTTCCGTTTATTTAATCTGTTAATCCAATTGAATTACGGCAATTTTAAATTTTATTAACTCTTAGGTATACCTACTCCCTTATCGTTTCGACCTTTGCTTTAGCTTTAGCTTGCTTTAGTTAATATTAGATTATATATATTGTATTATTATATTTATAATATCCTACAAATATTTTTCAGAAAATTATTATTAATAAGCTAATATTTTCGGAATGTGTTGTACATTAATACGCAAAATCAGATTTTATTATTGCTATGAATATTAGTCCGCAGGATATGTGCAGAAATATAATGTTATTATTTCCTATAGATTCTAAAAAATCTAACTTATCAAAAAATAATAAAAAATATATATGTATAAGGACAAAACAGCTATGTAGCATTCGGATTGTTAACCGACTTTCTTGGTTCTAATTTAGATAATTGGGCCAATGCTAGCATAAATATGACATACCCTGACTTCATAGCGATGCGAATAAATCCCTTTCGTCGGCTGAGAATGATTTTGTACTTTCCAGGATGCGAGTCAAGCGCCTCAGCGGCTCCTCCTACCATTATAGCCACACAATTCCCTTGAAACCTCTTCGGGTTCAGTAGGTGGAGCAAGCTCTCCTGTGACGATGCACAGGTTCCTAAGGAAAGAATTAAATCCCTGAAGAACGGGAACAAGAAATGTCCCCCAAGCACTATTAAGTGAGGCGTCAAGCCCGGGAATAACTTGTGGAAATTTAAAGCGTTCGTGGCAAATGAACAATACGCTCCCGACGACAATACTCCGTGAGGGTAGCAAGCGAAGAGGTAGTTCTTGGATGGTTCCAAATCTGCCGTCTTGACTAATTTGATAGGGAAGTAATCGCGGAAATAGTTCCACCAGCCCCAATTTCTGACCCACTGTATTCTGTAATAAAATACACACCAAATAATATTCACGGAAATACTGCCTGTGCCGCAATTAGGGCTTATGTCCAGCATTGAATTAATTGACTTAGAATTATGTTGATATTTATTGAATAAAAAAATTACAATTTAATAAATACACTTCTTTGAATAGCTGTTTTTATGGATTGCACGTGTGGATGAGCTCACAGCACCCCTTAATTTTAAGTGGTTATCAGAGCCTATAGACATCACTAGGCGAGTGTCGCCATCTTGAGAAGACGGCGTTTCAATCAGGTGTATATACAGGTATATACGGGCGTCTTATTCTTTAGACCACGACGATTTCAAAATTCTTATTTAACATTAAATAAACATCCTTTATATGAAGTAAAAAATATATGGTGTTTTTCACAGAGTTAAGCTTGTCTATTTAGAAAAAAATCACCTGAAAATGAACTACATATTTTGAATACGCAATAAGGTTCTGAACTCACGTTCGACCACCCTTGTGGCATACGTCAATGTCGTTTAGCATCCAAGCAGCGTACAGTATTCCAAGCCACCAGTAATCAGAGTACAGCAATGTGAGGAAGAGGTACAGCAGCGTGCCTTGCCCGAACAGCGCCAAGCACACCCAGGCGGTTGCGGCCAGGGTCTGGAGACGCCGCGACATGGGCACGTTGAGAGGAGCCCATTCTATTCCCACACTCCGTGATATTTTTCTGTGGAAACGAAACTTACTATAGAAATTTATTTATATTACTTGCTACTAATATTTTTAATGGTGGTAGGGCCTCTTGTGAGTCCGCACAGGTAGGTACCACCACCCTGCCTATTTCTGCCGTGAAGCAGTAATGCGTTTCGTTTTGAAGGGCGGGGCAGCCGTTGTAACTATACTGAGACCTTAGAACTTATATTTCAAGGTGGGTGGCGCATTTACGTTGTAGAAGTCTATGAGCTCTAGTAACCACTTAACACCAGGCGGGCTGTGAGCACGTCCACCCATTTATGCAATTAAAAAAAACAAAAAAACATTTTTTTAATTGCCTTTGTAGGCAGACGAGCATACGGTCCACCTGATGGTGAATGGTTACCGTCACTCATGGACATCAGCCTTGTTTGAAGAAGGGAATACTTCTGAAATGCCTTCATCAGAGTGTCTGTGCTCAGGGACCTTGGATACGAATTACATACTACTGTATTTGCTTATACTGGGAGTGACAATATTATTTATTTCCATTTGATCTCGGTAAAACAAACTACTCTCTTGGTGTAATTGCTTATATTCAACAATTGTATCAAGCTTCATAAGAAGAAGATGAGTGGTTTAGGGATATGTAGGAGAAACATATAGACATTTATTTCTATTTGATGGCTACCAGGGACTGACTTATATATGCTTAAATAGTACCCAGACAAGCAAACAAATCTGTTCATTACACGAATGTTTGCCAGATGTGGGAATCGAACCCCACCACCTGTCCTGGTGAAACTGGAAAGGCCTCCGGGCCACCAGTAATCCTTCAATCATAAAAAAAATAAAAAAATAAAAAATAAAAAAAGAATCGAACCCGCGACCTTCGGCGCAACAGTCTAGGGCGCTAAATACTGCACCACCGGGTCATTATGCAAATAGATACTTCTCTGTGTCAGTCTAGCCATCAATTTAATTAACAAATGGCTCTGGCTGAAGTTCAAAGAACACGTTAATTAAACTGTGTAACGAGACGCAAGTGAATGTTCGTATCGCGAACTACCTTGAATATAAGTCAATGACGGTGTTCAAGGGAATAATGATGTACAATCGAGGCCGTCAGCGCAAAAATGGCCTAAGCTTAGCATAGTTATTATGGAGCAATGAGGTTTAAGTTTCATGAATTTGAATTTGAGTAGACAAAAAAAAACAATACGCGCAAAAATATTTTTTACATAATGATGTGTGCTTAGTGTGAGTTTTTTAACGTTCTCGATAGCGTAAAAGTTAATTCAAATTTGTTTGCAGTCGGAACAGCGCCCCTAGCGGCAAGCGTAGGCAAACTTTCCAACTCCATACAAATTTAAGTTAACTTTAACGCTATCGAGAAAGTTAAAAAACTCGCACTAAGTACACTGTTATCTATGGGTGAAAGTATGGATAGGGCGATTTTGCATCAAAATTTATTATATTATAAATAAATTGCAATATACATATAAGCATGATTATGAAAAATTGTGGGTTAGGCCACTTTTGTGTGCTTCGGCCTTAAGATATTTGAAGTGCCTTTCAATCGCGAGATTACCAATCTGTGACTAGACATACGTAGTTACCGAATGCCGTTAGCTTCTGTAAATCATCATGTGAGGTTTGTTAATAGTTGTCCAAACAAATGTCTTCACGGGTACTGTAGCCAGGAGCCTCTAAGTAATAACAGCTTATTCACATTGTCGATATTATAAATGAAGGTTTGAATTTAAAACCGTATGCTGTTTCGCCAACATCATCATTATGCGTGAAATCAGTTACTCTAATGTTGGCCCGCTGATCGGAAATCGACCTTAAGCTAACACCTTAAATTTTAAACTTTTTTAATTTTTATTATCAGTATTAGTAACTTTTTTTTTTGTTTCCTTACTAAAGTAAAAGAAAAAACCAATTATTTCCAATTTCTTTTATTGAGATCAGTATAGCACGTAGCAAAACATTTAAAATTCATTATTATCTTTTAATTTCATTTTCCTCCAACGAATTTTGAAGAATTTATATTTAATTTATTTCATTGCAAAATAATTGACCTTTACCCTTATTTTCCTCGTAACTGTACTCTCTGTAATTCGCTGTCGTAACAATCATGAGTAATAGTGTGGAATAAGTATGGATATGTCTCCTCAAATTATTTTAACTATTGTAGCGAAGGAATAAAGGCGTGTTATGATACAACGGAAAAGTATTAGATTGATGACTGACTATCTTGTTAATCAAATGAGATACATCGCATATATTACGGCTATATTATAACAAGCTGGGCAGAGGCAATCACTATGTGGTGCTTGATAATGAAAAAATCAGACACAAGCATTTTTATAGATGTCTCTAGAGCAGGCAGAAGATAAACACTACATAGTATAAAACAAAATCGCTTTCTCTGTCCCTATATCTGTCTGTCCCTATGTATGCTTAAATCTTTAAAACTACGCAACGGATTTTGATGGTTTTTTTTTTAATAGATAGAGTGATTGAAGAGAAAGGCTTATAATGTTTATATGTATAATAAATTCCATCAAATAGTGGAGAAATCAATAATAAATTATGGTTTCCGAAACGAAGCGAGGGCGGATCGCTAGTAAAATAATAAAAGAAACACAGTGAAAACGGAAAAAAAAATTGTGCCTTTTCATACAGTTTAAGCACTTATGTTGTGTTTAGTTAGAAAATCTGATAACATTATTGTAATAATACAGCCCATGGTCGAAATTGAATGGATACCCGTTATTTCTGATAAATACTTTTGGGTTAACTTGTAAGAGTCTCTCCCCATAAACTACAGATTGAAAATGCGTGTCTTTATCATAAAAATACAAAGTACGATGAACCTTTGAACACACACAAAATTTATCAGTAAAATTTTAAAAGGTACCAGTTTATTTGATAAGCTATCAATATTAATTCTATATATGTTACAAATTGTGAAACGTTTTGGCTACGACACGCTATGATTTGATTTGGCGTGTCCCCAAGATAGCGTAAGTTTGAAAGTAATCAGAGATACCAATTCTACATTAGGGATTTCAAAAAACAATGTTTGTTTTGTAACTAGCATCATTTTATTTTGTTATTAGGACAGTAAAATCTGTAGCTTAGTTCATCTAAAGAGGTAATAGAGGCTTTTAGAATCTACCGTCAAAATCCGAATTCCAGCCAAATAACAAATATTCTACCTTCCAATCCGAAATAAATGACTGTTCTGCCACAGAATAACATAAGACGCGGTAACTTCAACCATACGAACTCATCTTAAGATTTAAATTGCCGTGACAAATACAAAATTTTTGACAGTAACTACAAGACCGGACTGGATTGAATATCGTTGCTCACCTCTAGTTATGAGGTCGGAGTCTCAAAATATCACAATAAAGTTTATTCTACCCTTTAAACGGAAATGCGATAGGGATGCGCGGTACCTAACTACTCGTGTGGCGGTACTGGCACCAGTTTTGTTACTTAGCTGTAATAATTATTAGCGTCCGCAGTCTGTACACAGTTTATTTACATTAAGAGGATAGGCGCGAGGCCTCGTTGTGGATGTCAGCGTTCACAAACAATACATCTCCAAACAAAAACTCATATAAAATACAGATTGAAACATATAGCTTCGTAACAAACGTTGCATTACAACTACAATATGAAAACGAAAGAACTCAATTTGTATTTATCGTAATCACTGTTCAAAACTTTAATTTAATATTATTGCGTTCATCATCGTGTTGGAATAATATGCACTCTTGGGATATGTACATTTAGATACCTGTCATAATAATAATAATGTCTGTCCTCTATTTATTCAGGCTCACATGAATATAACACGTTTTTAAATGTTTGCAGTGTAAATAACTAGTTCACACGCCATTTCCAAATATTTTTAAAACAACAACTACATAATTATTTCATTTTACATACCTAAACATGTCAGCCGCCGTTTCAAGCATCCCAATAACAATAATTTATTTCATACACGTTGACTCGCTAATAATGAACACGCGGGCACACGACCGAACATTTCTTATCTCGGCGGACGACTGTGGGACTGTGGGACGGGCCGAGGACTAATCTCGAATCATTTGGTGTCTAACTACATTGATTGTGTTGTTGTCTATGGGATTAAGTGTTCACTTGTACTTAAATGAGTCGTTTGACACTGTACTGACCTCAAATCTTATTACATCCCACTAGGGTTACCAGCTACTTTTTTTACCTACCTATGCTGATAGCCTTGAGAGGTTATTTCAGCTTCTCCTTGACGTGTAGGTGAGCTCACGGGGCTCTAATTGGGAGTGCTGCTAACACTAGCCCTAGCAAGAGCAGTGCTTCGCAGAATCTACCACCGGATCGGAAACGTGACCCACTGAGAAGATCCGGCGAGAAACTCACTGGGTTGTGTCTATGAGTTAATTCGCTCGTCGAGTCCTTCATCGCAAGCGACGGGCTCGACGAGGACGGTGACCGGTGCTTGTGGTGCCTAAAAGCACCGTTAATGGATCGGTAGGATCCGTAATGACGTGTTTAGGGCGACGTCGACTGTTTATCATTCGGTGTACAGCATTGGGTATGAACTAGCTGCAAGACTATTGATACGTAGGCATTCAAGATATGAGTGAGTAAATGAGTCTTGTATTTTGTATATTGTGTGACAAGCTTACAGTCCATCTGGTGTGCAGTGGTTCCTAAAGCCCATGAACATAGCAGCATGGATACCTGCAAAAGCTATCCCACTCTCCGAACTGGAACGTTTGACTGTTTCGCGGCAGAAAAAAGGGGGATAGTGGTAACTGCTTGTGCGGGCTTTCAATAAACCTCATCATCTCATCATCATCTCAGCCTGTCCATTGTCCACTGCTGAACATAGGCCTCTCCAAGTGATCTCCAGTGCGGCCGGTCCGTTGCCACCTGCATCCAACGTGACCCAGCGGTTCTTACCAGGTCGTCGGTCCATCTCGTAGGTGGCCGTCCCACACTGCGCTTGCCAGTACGTGGTCTCCACTCGAGGATCTTTCCGCCCCATNACTAGGGGCCTGGTCTCTCTGTTACTTTCCATGGAGGTATTTAGCCTACTGTACCACGCTGGCTAGACGGGTTGGTACAGGGTTTAATTTCGAGTTTTCCTTCTCTTACACTGATGTCTTGTGCATATTCCCTTAGTCGGTTCTTACGACTCCCTGGGATTGTATAGGGGTGGCGACACATTGTATTCTTACTCCGTCACCACACGGACCAATATCGGAATACGGACCAATATCGGAATACGGAAAACGGAATGTCAATAAACCTGAACACCAGTAATAAAGGGTTTTATGTAAACTTCCCTTGTAATGTGTATATTTTTAATTTTGTCCACGTGACTGTAAGAGTCATTGTCGCTCAGGGACAAGAAGGGTGCTGAAGCCGCAGTCAGCCCGCCACCTGTCGGTAATATGACGAATACAAAAATAACATTCTGGTTGTTAGTACATATGTGATGTAGTACATATTAATGAACGGCGGTAAATTATGTAACATCTTGACAACACTTGTTCAAACAACAGCATTTAAATCAAACACAAAATTTATAATACTATTCAAATGCAACTCGTCTGCATTTGAATAAATCAAAAATACATTATCAAAATCCATACAAATATGTGTTTGTGATTGAGAGTGTTTTGTTGACTTGTTATACAATCTAATGTAATATATTATGTTGTCATATAATTTTAATACTCGTATATCATGTCAATTAGGTCGAGTTAAGAGAACAATGAGTTAGTAAAATGAGCTGCGGTAAACCAAAGATTAAGTAAAAACCAAATTAACAATAAAATGGAGGAATACCTCGGAAATAAGGTACACTTAATAGTTTCTGAATGAAACTAATGTTTTTTTTTAAATTTTTATTGCATAGCTGGATGCATGAGCTCACAGCCCACTCAGCGTTAAGTGATTACCGGTGCCTATATAGACATCTACTACTTAAATGCCGCCACCCACCTTGAGACATGAGTTCTAAGATCTCACTTTTAACAGTACAGCCCCACCCTTCACACCGAAACGCATTATTGCTTTACGGCAGAAATAGGCAGGGTGGTGGTACCTGCCCGTGCGGACTCACAAGACGTCCTGCCACTAGTAAATGTAGTAAAATTCAGAATAATTGAAGCCCTCACAAGGAATTTCGGCATTGGGGGCATCTGCGTAAGATGAGCCCGGCCATGACTTGCTCATTCTGCTTCGAAGAGTTGGACCCTACATAACACACACTCCGTGAGCATGACGGCCAATAAAAACAAGAATGAGCGTCTAGGGCAATGGTTACCTTTGCCAATATCAATCTGAGCCTTAACTTCTATACCTAATTGCAGTGTTTGAATATCAGTAGCGGAAGCGATACAAAAAATCCTCAGGGTCGAAACGACAGGCAATTGTATGCCTTAAGATATGAGAAAAGATCGAGTTTTTATGTATTATGGTACTAGCCGTACTCGCCCGCTTCGTTGGGCATTAAAAATTAACATTATTATTTATTATCATTATTATTAGGGAGTCCAACACTCATATAAATATTAGCCTATCCATTAAATACGTGTATTTTTTACATGGATACCAAGTTTCAAGTGAATCGGATGCACGGTTCAGTAGTTATAACGGAACATCCGCAAAAACCACTATAGATTTATTTAATATAGTGTAGATTCTCGTGTCCTAGTCACAATAACGTGAGCAGTTGCAAAAGAATCACCTCAAGATGGAGTGCTCCTCGTATCAAAAATGAGTCCATTTTCTGACGACATCAAATTACAGTGAAACTTCTTAATGACGTTGCTCGTTCGTCTGCGGGTGACTGCGCTAATGTCGACTACACACATTGGGCCACTAGGAAATGATCAAAGGAAAATACACATTTCAACAAGAAAACATTTATTAAATTTCTCTTTCGTTGTGCTTCGTTGTTAAGTCACTGTTAATAAGAGCGTCTTTGAAGTTAATATCGAGACTTCTAGAAAACAATTCCTCTGTGCCCCGGCCTTGCTGACGTCCACGGGCGACGGTGACCACACTCGGTTAAGTGAGCCGTCAGCCCGTTTGCCAAAAGGCCAAAAAACGATATTAAGCAGCTTCAAGTTTGTTACAATAAATAATTGTAATAAATACATCAATAGAACAATCACACCCAGACTACAAATAGTTAAGGTAATTAGTGCGTTATATGTTTATTCCTCGTTTTTATCAACGGTTGATTACTTAACAGAACTGATTCTGGCTACAGCTCAGTGACCCCTCGTTCCAAATCACTAATCCTATCGCGGTTCTAGTTATTGTTGGGCGATCAATTAATGAAGTCGTCGTGGCCTAACGGATAAGACGTCCGGTGCATTCGTGTTGAGCGATGCACCGGTGTTCGAATCCCGCAGGCGGGTACCAATTTTTCTAATGAAATACGTACTCAACAAATGTTCACGATTGACTTCCACGGTGAAGGAATAACATCGTGTAATAAAAATGAAACCCGCAAAATTATAATTTGCGTAATTACNACCAATTTTTCTAATGAAATACGTACTCAACAAATGTTCACGATTGACTTCCACGGTGAAGGAATAACATCGTGTAATAAAAATGAAACCCGCAAAATTATAATTTGCGTAATTACTGGTGGTAGGACCTCTTGTGAGTCCGCACGGGTAGGTACCACCGCCCTGCCTATTTCTGCCGTGAAGCAGTAATGCGTTTCGGTTTGAAGGGCGGGGCAGCCGTTGTAACTATACTTGAGACCTTAGAACTTATATCTCAAGGTGGGTGGCGTGTTTACGTTGTGGATATCTATGGGCTCCAATAACTACTTAACACCAGATGGGCTGTAAGCTCGTCCACCCATCTAAGCCATAAAAAAAAAACTTCAGCGTAACATATAAGTATTACCACTACCACAGCAAATGGGCCTCTCCCGCCCTGTCATTTAGGAAGATTTACTTTTCTACTGAGTTACATAGAAACCTCATTCCACGAAGCCCTTAACGCGGTCAAAGACATAACAAAAAATGAAACTCTGTCTAAGCACGATACTCACGACCCTCGGCAGTGAGGAAACGACGCGAGTAGGAGAAGGAGACACGCACTTCTTTTATTTACTATTCACTACTTGTATTTTCTCAAAAAAGCTAATGGGGCCACGACACTCAGCACTGAGGATTATCGACACAAGTAGGAGAACTTATATTAAACTTAACAAAATACAGATCTAAAAATCATAACAATAATATAATAAGTCGTTTTTTTTATCAAATTCAAGAAACGAAACCGCCGGTTGTCTAAAGTACATTTTCTGAAAATGCATATTGGCTGCATCATTATTTTCTTCCTTTAGACATGTAGGTAGGCGTAGGACGGAATTTCAATGACAATGTCACTACAATAACCTTTACCACCACACACGCACCACTATATTTAATTAGCAAAGAAAAACCAGCCTTATGAGTACTGTAATTAAGCTTAAAAACGTTTTTGAAGAATTCTGTGTCGAAAATGTTTTCTTCTCAAAGCCAAATATTAATATTTATTTACTAATTATAGTACTGGTGGTAGGACCTCTTGTGAGTCCGCACGGGTAGGTACCACCGCCCTGCCTATTTCTGCCGCGAAGCAGTAATGCGTTTCGGTTTGAAGGGTGGGGCAGCCGTTGTGACTATACTGAGACCTTAGAACTATATCTCAAGGTGTGTGGCGCATTTACGCTGTAGATGTCTATGGGCTCCAGTAACCACTTAACACCAGGTGGGCTGTGAGCTCGTCCACACATCTAAGCAATAAAAAAAAAAAAAAAGTATACTATATTTTATTTACCAACTCAGATCATCTGTTGACACGCAAAACAAAATAAATCAACTATCGCTAGGTAAGCATGATCTTGCTTAAGTCAATGCCTAATGTTTCTCATTGTAAATAATTCGAAAAATCGTCCTTGCAGAACTTTGCAGAATTTTCTAAATATATGAACTGTTTACACAGATCTTATCGCATAGAAATTGCACTTAAGTTGTAACAAAAATTCATTTTTTAAGTGGCCTATTATTATTTTTTTTGCTAATTAAAAACTTGTGGTGATTAATACAGCTACTCCAAATTGTTTCACAATATTCCCTCAGCCTTGTACTAGGTGATGACAAGCTGTACTTCCTCGTGATTCTTCAAGTACTTGGATTTCTCATTCTCGAAGAGTTGGACGAGCCGCTTCCTGAACTCCGCGTGGACCTCATCCACCTCCTCGTCTGTAGGGTCGAGATTCCTCTTCACCTCCATTGGAGTACCCACTGCAAAAACACGTTTTGTGAATCAACAATTGTTCAACAAGCAACAGTTAGCTGCACACCTAAAATTCTTTCAAAGTATTCTTTGCGACCAAGCGTCACGGTTTATGTTGCACAATACATGATCACCATCGAGATATTATAATCATCTCGATGATGATCACCTAAAAAAAGCGCCCGGTGTGCTCGTATGAATTTTATTTTTTCATTGTTTAGATTTGAGGACAATTTAATTCACCTGGTATTAAATGGTTACTACACAACAACAAGGTAAATGCCGCTACCCACCTTGAGAAATGAGTTTTAGATCTCAGTTCCATAATACAAGTATTACCCTACCTGGGGTTTACTATTGGTAGAACCTCTTGTGAGTCCGCACGGGTAGGCGCCACTACCCTGCCTGTTTTTGCCGTGAAGCAGTAATGCGTTTCGGTTCGAAGGGGCAGTCGTTGTAACTATACTGAGACCTTAGAACTTACATCTCAAGGTGGGTTGCGCTTTTACGTTGTAAATGTCTATGGGCTCTAGTTATAAGCAATAAAAAAAAACTGATGGAATATGTGCGTCCACATAAGAAGGCACCACAACTGTCTTGTCTATTTCTGCGGCAGTCGCTATATGATCTAAGACTTCTGGCTCTAAAGATGCATGGCAGTCAATAGGATCCGGTGACCAATAAATAAAGCGGGGAGAGGTCAGTTAGCTAGTTTCAAATTCATAATAATTCCTAGAAACTTGACAATCAAGTGCATCTTACCCACTGTTGTGACAGGGTTCCTCAAAGGTACAACACCAAAGGAATATTGGAACAATCCCCTCCCCAAAGGGAAGACTGATGCTATGCCGGTGTGTCGGCGCAGCTTCTCCTGAAACCTCCTCACTAGACTATTGTGAAGAGGTCGAAAAACTTCGTTTTCGCCAAATGAAAAGACAGGGACTAGAGACGCTCTGAAATGTGTAATGTTGATCAGAATAATACTATTACATAATGTTATGTCAGTATGAATTCAGTACCAAGCTAAAGTTTATACTCTCAATGTAGCGTGCTCTAGCATACATTGCTTAATATGAGCCCATCGTCTAGAATTTACCAAAGTTTCATCCGCCATTGGAGCAGATAACTGCGCGCATCCACAATGCGTTTCCTGAGATCTTGTTTCCTTACTAAGCTGATAGGCTATGTCAGCGTAACCTTAACGTGTAGATGAGCTCTCAGGGCTCAAACCGGAGGTGTTGGTAACACTAACCCTAGCAGGAGCAGTGCTTCGCAGAATCTACCTCTGAATTGGAAACGCAACCCACAGAGAAGATTCGGCGAGAAACTCAGTGGGCCGTGTCTCTGGGTGAATTTACTCATCGAATCCTTCGTTGCAAGCGACGGGTTCGGCGAGGACGGACCACGGCAGTAAAAAAAGCTGGATCATAACGTACAAAATAATTTGCAAAAGAAATATGCTTCGTGCGATAGAAGGAACACGAGGACTTCAATTTGCTGTAAGGGCCTATCTACGTTTAAGTCTTTACCTACAAAATTACTGTTTAGTTAATGTCGTTTCTATACACTATATGTTTTTTCCTATGAATCAAAATATGACCCATAGTATCGATGCATCAGTGCCAGCGCAGTGGTCATTTCTCAATGCCCTCATTGAAGAAGTCAAGCAGACGATTCCGATCAGGTATACGATACGAGATATTCCGGGCCGCACATGAATTACGTTTGAAAAGGCCAGTATTGTAAAATGGCAACTTCATAGACCTATTATTAACCATAAAGAATATACGGTTGAGTTAACGACAAATAGTAGTCAACATAAATTATTAATTTAATTTGTAGAAAAATTAGTATGCTCAGTGCGAGTTTTTTAACGTAGCTTTCATTCGTTCGCCGCTAGAGGCGCTGTTCCAACTCCATACAAATTTGTGTTAACTTTTACGCTATCGAGAACGTTAAAAAACTCGCACTAAGCACATTGAGTGCGAGAAACTCACTCACTTACCCCGACTTCATGGCGATTCTAATAAATCCTTTTCGCCTGCTGAGAATGACTATGTACTTTCCAGGATGTGAATCCAGCGCCTCAGCGGCTCCCCCGACCATCATAGCCACGCACTGCCCCTGGTATCTCTTCGGGTTCAACAGATACAACAAACTCTCCTGTGATGGTGCACATGTACCCAAAGACAGGATTACGTCTCTGGCAAACGGAACGAGGAAATGTCTCCCGAGGATCACCAAATGGGGCGTCAGGCCCGGGAATAGCTTGTGGAAGTCGAGCGCGTTCGTTGCAAAAGAACAAAACGCGCCCGACGACAGCACGCCGTGAGGGAAGCACGCGAAGAGGTAATTCTTAGATGGATCCAACTCTGCTGTCTTGACTAATTTGATAGGGAAGAAGTCCCGGAAATAATTCCACCAGCCCCAATTTCGAACCCATTGAACTCTGTAAGTATTGAAACTTGAAATTATTATTTATAGTAATGTTACCGGAGCTTAACCTAGATAAGCCCAGCCAGTGTCAGGTAGTTAGTTATCAAACGTGGATGCCGCCACTCGCCTTGAGACATGAGGTTACAGTTACAAATGTCATGCTGTTCAAACTGGAACGCATGATGATGCGATAGATAATGATAGCTATTCTTTTGAGTTTACAATAACTCCTTTGTTTTTGAATGCACTGTATTCTCAGAAATATCAACTCAATCGATTGGTCTGTATTGTGCACTAATATCATTTGTCCCAAAAAAAATCCGCAGTCAGGGTCACAGTGAGGTCAGTCAGGTAATCTGATAAATAAGGCGACAAGTGGACGAATACAGATTTCTCTTTTTCTCTCTCTTTCTCTCGTTTGTCGATTGTATACAGGAAAGTGTCTCACAAACTCACGTTCGGCCGCCTTTATGGCAAATCCCAATGTCGCTCATCATCCACACAGCATACAAAAAGGCAAGCCACCAAAAACTGGAGTACAGCAGCTTGATGAACAGGTACAGCATGATGCCTTCTCCAAAGATAGCTAGAAATACCCAGGCGGCCACAGCAAGGGTTTGAAGCCGACGATGCATTGGCACGTCTAATGGCGCCCATTCTATTCCGGCTGATTTTGACACTTGTCTGTGGAAAATGAAAATTATAAATTAAATGTTGTATTAAAAAGTGATCGACGTCTATTAATTATTGAAAGGTGAAAACGAAATACAGAATTCTTGAGCAATTATTTGCAATAAAGACCATGGTACTAAATATCTAATATTTTATTTATTTATTTTTTATTGCTTAAATGATTGAACGGGCTCACAGCCCACCTGGTGTTAAGTGGTTACAGGAGCCCATAGACATCTACAACGTAAATGCGCCACCCACCTTGAAGTATAAGTTCTAAGATTTCAGTATAGTTACGACTGCCCACCCTTCAAACCGAAACGCATTACTGCTTCACGGCAGAAATAGATAGGATGGTGGTACCTACCCGTGCGGACTCACAAAGATCAGGACCAGCTTAATTAATTATTTGTTAGTAAGTTATCAACGAACCAAAACCAGTTATCTGTAAAATTTGTTCGTAATTCGGCAACAGAATGTTCTAACAACTTTAAAAAAAGTACTATACGCCTTTGTTACGACTTACAAATTTCATATCTCACGTCACTCTTGACTGAAAACTAAAATTATAAGAATCGTCCCAATAACAAGAAATTGAGTTTTTGTCTGAAAATATCACAAAAGATTTCATGCAAGTAATCATGGCACACTGAAGGTTTTTTTTCTATTGTAGTATTTCGTATTTTTTCTAGTGTTCGTATTTTGAATAACCAGCTATCTAAGTCCTAGTTTTTTGGATGTTGCATTCCTGGATGTTCCTTCTTCCTTCTCATTTGTAAATATGTAGCACGAAAAGACGCGGATTTAAACAAAGTACCTAGCTGAAGCCGAATATTACTCAGATGCGCATTTTGGCAGAACGTCGTGTTCGTATGTGCAGCAGTATCTGAGATATGGATGACGATGATATAAAATGTCAGGAATAATGTTTTTATTTATTTAATCCACTGTACTTCATGAAGCCGGTAGTTTCGTTTGGAGCTTAGAAAGAAGTACGAAACTATATTTATACACTATCGATGCATCAGGTACACGATAAAATAGGGAAAACAGATACTTGATAACATCCCTTATCATATATTACCATTACGGCCGAATGATCACGATAAGCCTTTCGTCTGACTCATAACAAAAAATCCGATTATCAATGAAAAACTTTTATCTAGGTTAATTTATAAATGTCGTACCATTTGCTACACCTAAACTTAAGGCTAATTCACATAAGGAGTTTCTCGAATTCGAACGGAGCAAATAATATTATAATAGGAAATGCGATTTGTCATATCAAAGTGAATCGTATGATAAATAATTAATCAGCCTTGACTGTTACCACGACGATATAAACACGTCAACGGCGATATTCAATTTGACATTATTAACCGTAATTCACCTTTAGTTGTCTTAATCCGCATCTTCATCGATTAAAGTGAAGCCCTGATCGTAAATCAGCGTTATTGTAGTGCAGTGCCAGAGACAGTCAAGTCACGGCCTCCTTCTCAAGTCTCCTTTGAAGAAAAGCATCTCGTAGAAACGTTGGAGAGTTCGTGGTGGGGCTTAACACTGCTGAATCCGCGGATCATTTTAAAAGGATAATAAGAACAAACAATTCGGGAGTTTGATATGCTCTTTGCTGTTGAGTGCTATGACAATAACTTGTCTTTTTTTTTTATTGCTTAGATGGGTGGACGAGCTCACAGCCCACCTGGTGTTAAGTGGTTACTGGAGCCCATAGACATCTACAACATAAATGCGCCACACACCTTGAGATATAAGTTTTAAGGTCTCAGTATAGTTACAACGGCTGCCCCTTCAAACCGAAACGCATTACTGCTTCACGGCAGAAATAGGCAGGGGACTCACAACAGGTCCTACCACCAGTAATTACGCAAATTATAATTTTGCGGGTTTGTTTTTTACTACACGATGTTATTCCTTCACCGTGGAAGTCAATCGTGAACATTTGTTAAGTACGTATTTCATTAAAAAAATTGGTACCCGTCTGCGGGATTCGAACACCGGTGCATCGCTACATACGAATGCACTGGACGTCTTATCATTTAGGCCACGACGACTTCAAACGACTTCAAACGACGACTGTCTGTAATGAAAGCTCAAATAAATGATGTTTTAATAAATTAATAGGCCCCGTATCAAGTGTACCTATTATATTTATAGACCGGTCCCAAAACGATACTGCAACGAAATTGGTTAAGGAAACCTGAAGGAAACCTAAGGAAACCGGCCATATAAACTTTCTGTCGTACTTTTCGGAACCACATTAATCAGCAGCTGCTAAACCCCTAATGGACTTATTCAACATCCATGACTGATATTCCACACACAGTACAGATATACAACTACGTTCAGGATAGCCTGCAGCGTTTTGAAATATGTATTATTATTATTTTATATTATTAATTTTAGCATTTTCTGACGAGGTCGCGCGGCGCGGTGTCATCAATAAAACGCGCGGCAGACTCGATATTAAAAAAAATGACCGGATAAGACCGTATCGCATTCTAACTCGGTAGTAGCACCGCCTGGACAGTTGGTCAGCCTGTTAACCCGACCACACTGGCCGATACCGAATCGTTTTCACCGAAGACTGTCGGTCAGACATCCTTGAAGTTTGTCGGGTTACATTATTGACCGTGATCGCCCCCTCCTACCTGGTTTTAATCCCGGAGGAGATTCGGACGTTCGGGTGAGGTTGCAGACGAGTTGTTTATTGTATGGCTTTTAGTCTAGTAGGGTAAGGGCAGCTTGCAACTTTACTTCTCAATAGATAAGGAAGAAAATGAGTACTCTTATTTCGCACATTAATTCTTTGCCTATTGAACTTTTCTAATAATGATAGTTGTGATATTGCAAGCGCTTAAATATTTTGTAAAGGAATCGTAAATGCAAGATCAGTTATTTGAAAAATTAACAGCTACAATTGGGTTGACAGCTACAATTATCTTCGTAGTTTGTGATTAAGCAATACAATAATAACTAACAATTAAATGCTTCGTGTTAAGAATCCGTGAACTACTAATATGCAATAAGCAGTAATGCGTTTCGGTTTGAAGGGTGGGGTATATAGCCGTTGTAACTTTACTTGAGACTTTGAACTTATATATCAAGGTGGGAGGTGCATTTACGTTGTAGATGTATATGGGCTCCAGTAACCGCTTAACACCAGGTGGGCTGTGAGCTAGTCCACCCATATAAGCAATAAATAAAATAAAATAAAAATTATAAAAACTAATAAATGACTCGTAGTAAATTGTTTACTTACACAATTTTGGATTTAAATGTATTCAACATATTATAATAGCAAAAATAACAGAATGTACTATTTATTAAGGTCTTATATATTGAAAATTTTCATAGGTTTGCAATAAGTGTTTCTTTTAAATTTGAAATGCCATTGATTTGGCCAAAGTCAAAATAAATAATTTAAATAAATAATTTATAAACAGAAATTAGTTTACTGTTAGAATTAGTGTCAATAAATGACATTTTTGCGTTTTTAAACAAGCTACATCAGTCACATACCTGAACATTTTTATGACCATTTCAAACACAATTAAACTTCGTAAGTCCTCCATTTTGAACGCGTCCGTGCATTAGTTATCGTGACGATAGACTGAATAATAAAATTCATCAATTATACTGATAATAATCTAGTTTATCCAATATCGTGGGGGTTTTACGCTTTTATTGATTTAACCAAAGATTTATATGCAACATATTATGTCCTTACATAATATTAAATTGGCGTTTTGTACGGGAGGAACATAAAGTCACTTTTTTTTGTTAAATATATTTAACTAGTTAACCCGGCAGACTTCGTAGTGTCTCAATCAATAAATAAAAGACCTAAACATTGGTATAAAATAAACTTAAAACAAACAAAAGGAATCCGACGGACGGGGGACACATCAAAGGAAAAACAAAATTGTTATTTTTATTTAATTCCGAGCATTTTCATTTTTATCTACCTTTTAAACCTTCTCTGGACTTCCACAAATAATTCAAGACCAAAATTAGCCAAATCGGTCCAGCCGGTTCTCGAGTTTTAGCGAGACTAACGAACAGCAATTAATTTTTATATATGTAGATTAATTAAACAAAGTATGCACCGTTGTTATCTATGCACTTTTGCCATCTCTTAGGTAGTTCATTGATCCATTTACTAAAAAAACCATGGGGGCGATAATCAATAAACTATTTCAAGGCGGCTTGGACTGCCGCATCGGAGTTGAGATTTTTTTTCTTGTAAGGAGTTGTCCAAATTCCAAAAAAAATGGTCATCTGTTGAAGCAAGGTCCGGGGAGTACGGTGGATGTCGCAGACATTCCAATTGTAGCTCATCTAACTTAGTGATTGTTTGTTGTGCAGTGTGTGGTCTTGCGTTGTCGTGGAGCAGCAGTGGCCTAGAGTGATTGCCCAATCTCGGTTGTTTAGCAGCTAGTTCTTCATTCGTCGTCGAAGTCGTCGTGGCCTAAAGGATAAGATGTCCGGTGCATTCGTTGTTGCGATGCACCGGTGTTCGAATCCCGCAGGCGGGTACCAATTTTTCAAATGAAATACGTACTTAACAAATGTTCACGATTGACTTCCACGGTGAAAGAATAACATCGTGTTTTTTTTTTTTATTGCTTAGATGGGTGGACGAGCTCACAGCCCACCTGGTGTAAAGTGGTTACTGGAGCCCATTGACATCTACAACGTAAATGCGCCACCCACCTTGAGATATAAGTTCTAAGATCTCAGTATAGTTGCAACGGCTGCCCCACCCTTCAAACCGAAACGCATTACTGCTTCACGGCAGAAATAGGCAGGGTGGTGGTACCCACCCGCGCGGACTCACAAGAGATCCTACCACCAGTAATTACGCAAATTATAATTTTTGCGGGTTTTGATTTTTATTACACGATGTTATTCCTTCACCGTGGAAATCAATCGTGAACATTTGTTGAGTACGTATTTCATTAGAAAAATTGGTACCCGCCTGAGATTCGAACATCGGGTGCATCGCTCAACACGAATGCACCGGACGTCTTATCCCTTAGGCCACGACGACTTTGTGTAATAAAAATCAAACCCGCAAAATTATAATTTGCGTAATCACTGGTGGTAGGACCTCTTGTGAGTCCGCACGGGTAGGTACCACCGCCCTGCCTATTTCTGCCGTGATGCTAAGTGATTACCGTTCACTTAGCATCAGGTGGGCCGTATGCTCGTTTGCTAACAAGGTCAATAAAAAAAACTTTTGAGAACTGATACCTACTTTTTCCATATACGTTGACATATTATTATATACATGGACTTTTTTTTATTGCTAAGATGGGTGGACGAGCTCACAGCCCACCTGGTGTTAAGTAGTTGCTGGAGCCCATGGACATCTACAACATAAATGCGCCACCCATCTTGAATTGAATGTATAGATAGATATTAAACACAAAAATAAAAGAGCAAACAACCCAGTTCGTCAGGCGAATACTTACCTGAGGTGGGAACCGAACCCACGACTGTCGCAGCAGTCAGGAGCGCTAATGGAAATCAGAACTCTTTTATAGTCTTACTTCCCGACGACTCAATTTTAAGAGAATTTATTTAGACACCCCAAGAAGCTTGTTTCGCTTGGGCTCGTAGCGAAATGAGATTTCTCTACTCTAATCTCAGGTTTAATTTCCCAAAATATACGCGACATTGTAAAGGATTTCGTGTTTGTTGCTATCAAACTTTTGAACCTCTATTAAACAATTACGAATAATACTTTTTGTCACTTTCTTATAGCATGCGTTTATAACTCTAATAGCTCGTTATCAATCAAACAGTAAATGTTTACATGATTAAACAATTTTCTAATATTTCTCAGACTTGAATTATGAGGTTTATGAATAAAATAGGCCTTGATTATGACAAAAATATATATATCTAAATATTCTAACATTTGCTTTTAAAATATTTATTTCATTTTACAGATAATCTATCTTCATCAGAGTTTCAAGCAAAGTCACTCTCGATGATGCTTCTAAAATGTTTAATCCGTTCTTCAGTTTCAGTAATACTCTCCTTAATGTCCTTGTGCACTTCAGTATAGGCTTTGATAGACTGGTTGGTTTCTGTGAAGATGTTCTGTAGTATTTGTAGATGTAGTATCCTGGCAATGAGTTATGATTTCATTTTAATATGAAATAAACTAATGAATATTTACATAGGAATTCAGATATATGTAAAATTTGATTTGATCAATGCTGTTTTAATAAAACAAGATTAATGAGTTTCTTTCGCATTTCAAACACGGCTAAACATGGCATCTTTTATTTGCACAGCAGTTACACAATAGCACAAGTAACAAGATGGCATGTTGACATATTAGTGCCTCTTGTGCAAGCTCACAAATAAGTTCTAACATGAATAATTTGACCTTGTTTTCACTGCACAATGTTATTCCTAATCACAGAACAACTACTTACTATTGCTCTGTTACACCCCAAGGATTTGAGCCACAGCATAGTAACATCACTAGTACTTTTTTTTATTGCCTTTGTAGGCAGACTAGCATATGGCCCACCTGATAGTGAGTGGTTACCGTCGCCCATGGACTACAGCAATGCCAGGGACAGAGCCAAGCCGCTGCCTACTACCACTACTACTACTACCACCATATCTTACCGATCATGCCACAGATGCTTTGCCAAGTTCATTTTGGGGCTTCTTTAGCATTGTCTTTTAAATAACATTTAAAAAACTCACTTAGACTTCAATTCCAGTACCCTAGTCTTCAGAGTCAATAGTTCACTGGAATCATCATTGAACTTGGACACTTCTAAAAGCCTATGGTTGAGCCACTCCATCATCAGTTCTACTTTTTCGTTCTCCTGATCGTTAAGCTTGTTTAGTTTAGTGTCTATACTCTCTTTCAATGCTTTGATTTGTTCTTTTTTACTTTCATTTGCTGTAAATTAGAAATTGGTGATTTTGATTGGTGAAAACAAGCAGTACTCCTGTGAGGCAAAACTTATGCTTTCTAAAGCAGCAGTCTTTGTCTAGAGGTGAAGCATCAATTCAATCTGTTGAGGACCTTTTTTTACTTGGCTTTGCCCTCCACACAACTCTGATATTGAGCTTCTACCCGAATAACAGTTTCAGAAGGTTGCAAGAACACACTGAATTGCTGACCTATAACAATTTGGTGCTATTTAACCATTAGAGTGCAAGCCTGTGTCTTCAATGGCTGAACTCATTTAAATTAAATTCAACTCATTTAGAGCCAAGGCCCAGCGTCATCCATAAAATGTATCTTTGATCATTTCCCCTCCATTATGCTCCCAGAGAGACTCTAATTGCTGATATATTATACATGTCCAGTGCTGTCATGCCTTTGATATTTAGGATAAAACGTATGGGTAGGGCTTTGTGGAATGTCACAGTTAATAGTCATGGTGTTGGAACAGTAATCAACAATGACGATTGTGATGCTCCATCCAGCCAAAAGACTAGTAATCTACTTGCAGATTCCCTTGGATATTCTGAAAGCTGGTTACTTTTACAGAAGTCTTTTTTACTAAACTACATCTAAGACCTTTTGAGATATCAAGGCTAACAACAAGAGTTTCCACCTTGCTCTCCAAGACTTCAACAAGCTCGATATTAAGGTATACAAGAAATTGCATGCAAAGCAACCATAATGGAAATAATATTGTTATTCACAGATCAACTGTTTATCCTCAAGATACTCATGGAGTTGCATATTTATAATATGCTATAGTTTGCTGAAAAACAAGGAAATTATTGTGATAGCCCTGTAACTCAACTAACTCAAGTCTGAACATTTACTTTGTAGACTTGGGCTATATTCCACAAAGAACCCTGTTGGTTTCCTAAGAGATGCGATATGCATGGGCAGTTATGAGGGGTCGGGGGGGGGGGGGAGTATTCAGGGATCTGTTATCAATACTCACTCACCCAGCTTATGGATATTGAAGAACGAGCTTCCACCTGACCGCACGCTATACGAGTATACAATTTAGGCTGGTAGGCAGCGGCTTGGCTCTGCCCCTGGCATTGCGGACGTCCACGAGCGACGGTGACCACTTACCATCAGGTGGGCCGTATGCTCGTCTGCCTATAAAGGTAAAAAAAATAATATTAATTCCTAGATTAAATTAAAAAAAATTATCTTACATGTGTGTCTAGATAGTTTCAGTTGTTCCAGTTGCGTGACTAACACGGGTAATTTGTTCTGTATCTTCTGTAAAAACACTTCATTTAGTTCAATTTGTTCCTCAAATGTTAGTTCAGTTGATATATGTTTTAGAACACCTGAAATTATGTTTTTCAAATAATATTTTTTGTCCTTATTTCTGTAGTAGTAGCTGACTTTCTCCCTTCATTAATAATAAAATCTTCGCTTTATATCAGAGCTTATTAAGTGATTCTATTCTTGTTAGTAAAAAAAAAAAACAATAGTGTAATATTTATACTATATGAAGAGGTGAACTACTGTTTGATTTAAGCAACATTTTGCTTAATATGTCACATTTATCTTTGTAGTTAAAGGTCCATTTTATTTGGTATCAACAATTCGATGTTTTTAATTGAACTTCAACTAAGTTTACCCCAAGTAGCTGAATAAGTATTTTTGTTATAGTGTATTTTTGAAAATTTAAAACTTTAAATGGCTCTTGTGTAAAGTTGCAACAAAATGGTGCATAAACCAAATAGGCTTTCATACCTCGAAATATACAAAAAAAACAATTTGTTTGACAATTCAATAAACAGAAAACGAAAGATTGCAAATATTGTTGAATAAGTTGCCGTTTATAATTTTTTTTATTCATATTGAATTATTTTGGATCTATATTTTACGCGCAGTCATTTTTTTGTAACTGATTCACATTGTGGTGTGTAGGGGCTTCGGCAATCATATTTAAAAACATTTGGCCTTAAATTCGTTTATCTATGAATACAGTAAAAAAACTACCCAGTAAAGTAGATGTATTTTCGTCTGCCGTGCTCATTTTGTGAAGACTAGAATACTTCTCGAGATTACATTCTTGTATTATTTTGGTGATTTTGGATTTAATTTTAGTTGATAAAATTTGTTCAAAATACACTTCTTTGATCATATCTAAGAGAAAGTTTTCTTTAATAGAATTTTTCTCTGCTGAATATTCTGAGTTCGTCGTTATTTCCATCTTGTTCTTTTGTTTTATTGCTAAAACTTGAATATATATTAAATATTAAATAACATGCAAATTATATGATGATACATGAGTAATAAACTTCTTTTAGAAATTATTTAACGAAAGAGAAAATATTTCTAATAAAAACATAATATTTTACCTACGTTAAAAACTTTTGAACTGTTTTGTTTGAACCAAATTCAAAAACTTCAAAACGAACAAAGATTTTTTTTTGTACAATTTTTCCTCATTAAGAAAGGCAAAGGGAATCTAAGCCCATACAGCCTCGAACATAGATAATACAGAATACCTATTTAAGAGAACGAAGTGGGTACCTAAAACCATATGACCATTAGCAACTCAACTTTTTAGCCCATCGTGATTGATCTTTAATAAAGATTGGTCACATCTCAAAGGGCTTCAGAAGTGTTTTCGTAGAATTTTGTAAATTTTGTTACATTAAAAAAGTTTGAATTTAATTTGCAACACTAAAATGTTGAATGGTTCATAAGTAGAATAAAAAAGAAACATAATAGCTGGTAATAATAACAAATAAAACAATTCGTGAAAAATCATCATTCCATTTCTGTCAAATCAGTGTTTTTATTATTATATGACATGTTTTAATTGTTATTGTAAAATTTGATTTGAGGTCCGATTTCACTTAGGTGAAATTATCAGAGTTATATCTATTATCTATGTATGTAAGGCTTTAAAGCCTTATTGCATCTGGTTAAATTTAGTCGACTGAAATAGTGGGACGACGAAGTAGGACTTGTCGTGTGTGTAAAAGGATGGCCCCAGTATTGTCTAGACAACAAAAAATTAGTCTTGGTGTAGCCCTCGCTGTCGGCTCAATATAAACAAAAAAACAAAAAGAAGAATATGGGTAAAGAAATATGTATTTATTGCTGTGCGGAAAGTTAGCAAATATGAAGATTATGAATGATTTAGAACCAGACTTCAGATTTCAGAAATTATCTACGAATGGATTCGAGATCGGTTGACTTAATATTAAACCTTGTGACACCGTTTCTTCAAAAGTAGGATACTATCCTACGAGATATTAAAAGTTCAAAAGAAAGATTGGTTAAAACATTAATAATGATTTCTTGCACCAGGAAATTCGTATCAAGATTTAAAGTTTAGTTCTTTAATATCCCAACCCCTGCTGACAAATAGTATCCCTGAAACATGTCAGGCTATTTATAAATGTCTGGCATATTAAATAAGGGTGACAGAAATAAATACTTTTTATTCGGAAGTAAAAAACAAACTAAAACGTCTACGCACGGAAGGCTATGGGACGACTGAAATCATTATATGTATAAGTAAATAAATGCGGTTACACCTTTCCAAATGCATTTTTAATTAGGCTTTTAATTTAGTCAGTCAGAAACCATCCTTGCTACTGAATTTAGTAGGCTAGCTTACTGAATTCTAGCTTACGCTTCATTGAAATCAGTAGCGGCTGAATTTAGTCGACTAAATTTAGCCAGGTGTAATAAGCCTTTTACAGCAAACAGCACTCTTCTTCTCTTGAAACTACGATTTGAAATGATGTCTGTAATTTTAGTGTTTAGATCACGTTGGCATTCAGGTTATTGTAAAGTGACGGATGTTTTTGCTTGTTATACTAGCACTTTCAATAAATTAACTATGTTTTAAATTGAGTAATAAATCAAAACTAATAAATATTGTTACAAGCCGAGCATCCAAAAACACTATTTTATCATTTTGACATTTTTACAAACAAAATGCAGAAGTTACAAAAATACTATTTTATATTAATTATCAACTACATACTATATTCACTTCAGCTTCACCTAGAATAGTTTCGTTACATGTGATTTTCAGCCCTCAAGAGTTAAATTATCCTTTGTCTGCTCTTCTTAGCTTTTACATTCATCTTTGTTTTTTTACCCTCAACAACGGTTCGTTTACACACAATACAAAACGTGAAACGTGAAAACAAACTCTTGCCTGGATATAGCTTTTTTAAATCTCCAAAACGCTAATTAAACATTCAATACTTTTTCCGCCGTTAGAGTGAGATGATTTAAAGCATATATACAAGAATGGTAGATCTAAAGTAGGCTAAAAAGTAGAGAATCCAATGGCAATAAGCAATAACCATTTAAAAAAAAAGTTGTGCTGAATGCTATTTGTATTTTAAAAATGCTTTTGTGGAAATAAAACTATGATTTAGGAAACATCTATTATGTACACCCAAGAAATGATTAGATCTGATTTAAAAATAGCGTTTTGTTAAGGATGTCTCTGTCTTATAATCACAAAAAATCTACGGAGATCGATACTTGTTTCAATAATTATTATTCTTCTGAATCTCATAAAAACGGTGATAATATGGATAAAAATAAAGGAAATAAAACTTCTGCTGAATCTCAAGGCACATGCTACTGGTATGTAAATGTATTTCAAATCGTAATGAAAAAAAACCTCGGTGATAACCTCTTGTTGTTTTGGCGGCAAGATCCGTCCAACAAAAAAAAGTGTTTATCTTTTAATGAACACAAAACAATGGTTAAAGATTTTTTGTTCAATTGTAGTATGTATGCCTATGCTGAATATACACATTTTTCTTAATAATGTACTTCAATAGTATTGATAATAAATGAATTTTGACACGCATTTGTTTCCAGCGGTAAAGATCGTAATCTGAATATAGCTGAGTTATTATGTGCATCATGCAATAGATGGTTTCACGAATCCTGTATCGGTTATCAACTTGGCAAGCTGGTACCTTTCATGACAAATTATCTCTTTATTTGTAAGAACTGCTCTCCTACTGGTTTGGAAACATTCAAAAAAAATCAAGCACGTAAGTTAATATTCAATAAAATTTAAAATTTTCAAATTGCATTGCTTTAAAATTTCAAAATGCAAATTGCATTGTGTCTTACATTCTGTATTTCTCTAATACAGAATGTTAAGACACAATGCCGAAACAAAAATGATAGGTATGATAAAAAAGACCAATTGTTCCACATTAAGTGGCCTACCTACAGTCAGTACAAGATCACTCATTGTGGCGGATGAGTTTTAACAAGCTCATAAGCTATTGTCTAATAGTGTTCATCTTTTCAATTATAATTTTTTTTATTCAAGTGAATGAATACAATGTCCATTTGTTTTAGCCCTTTGGTATAGCTTTGTGTTTTAAATTCAATAGCTGATTCAGTTGAATGTCCTCTCAGCCTTTCCTGATATATCTGAAGTTTTATGCATAATAATATCCTTCTGTAATTTTCTTCAATATAGATAAAAGTCAGTGTAAGAACAAATTTATAAAACTGCACAAAACTTACAGTTGGCTTTACATTCTACATCATTAACTGATTTTCCCATTTTGGGATTAAAATTTCTGAGACTTTCTAAACGCCAGATAATATTGGAGTAACCATATTTTTCTCCATACAGCATTCCCGCAAATGTGTCTAACTGCAATTGCTAATCTTCAACAAGATAGTGTGAAAAATGGTAGCAATAGACGTCTGTTCAGCAAAGACCGAGAGATCATACCATACATTGACCAGTATTGGGAAGCTATGACCACAATGCCCAGAAGGTAATGTAAATTGAAAAGTACATTTATTTATTGCTTATGGTCGAAAGTTCATAAAGATTTATATCATTTAGGTATGTTATAATACTTAACAAGTTTATTATATTAACTGGTTGACCTTCTAGTGCCTCAATCGATAAATAAATGACCTAAACTTTTGTATAAAATAAACTTGAAACAATCAAAAGGAATTCGTCCGACGGGGGGGACATCAAAGGAAAAACAAAATTGGTATTTTTATTTTTATTCCGAGCATTTTCATATTTATATACCTGTTAAACCTTCTCTGGACTTCCGCAAATAATTCAAGACCAAAATTAGCCAAATCGGTCCAGCCGTTCTCGAGTTTTAGCGAGACGAATGAACAGCAATTCATTTCTTTATATATAGAATAACTGGAGTATTTAGAGTAAGGCAGTCAAAATGAGGAAGATGCTCTCATAGACATTGAAGTATTACTAGTACTTTTTTGTAATGTTATTCTGTCATATTCTATCTATCTATCTCTTAGGTTTATGTCATATTCAATGTATATATGTCAAATACAAGAAATTGTCACTTTTGACACAAGTGATCAAAGGTGTTTTTTGTTGAAGTATGTCTTTTACTGATTTTTGTTAATTTACTCATAATAATAATGCAGAAATAATGCAAAGGATATTGTGCCATAGATGTGTAAACAAAATCATGTGTGTTGGGTGTATGTGTATGGTGCATATGTGACTAATAAGATGAATTATGACTTATAATGTAACTTGTTGATGTATGACAAGCTGAGTGAGCTGATGAGTACTAAATATCTAATGTTTGTTATCAGGGTGACCCAGTCGTGGTATGCTACAGTACAGAGAGCTCTAATCAAGGATATCCAGGTTTTGTTCACATATGAAGAAGACTCGTCTGATGGTCCCATGTTTGGGCTCTGCAACGCAGAACTGACAATTATTAAACCTAACTACGAAGCCATGATCAAGCATGGTCAGCTCAAAGTCACAGATATGGGTATAGCTACAAGTAAGTTAGATTCTGAAACTATAATTTTTCAGTTAACTACTAATCAGTTTACATAATTGCTCAATAGATGGCGGGCTACTGACTTCCTGAACATCGGATTCAGTTAATGACAGTACGTCACCCGGCTCCATGTGAACGTTGTGCTAATACCCTCGCACGTTATTATTTCTTGACTTGCTTAGAGAATAAAGCCGCCGGCATTGTCTAGTTTTATGTATAACATCACAGTGACACTTATCTGGATTGAATGTGTCTCACAATACAGTAGTTGTAGCAGTTTGAAACATGTTGCTATGGCAACAAACAATGTCATCAGACGTGTCTTCAAATGTAGCTTGAGGATAGTTCTTTGCCTCACTTAGATGGTGGTAACTGAAAGACATGGATTGGGAATGTGTTTAGTGTGATTAGTGCGCGCTTTTTAACGTTCTCGATATCGAAAAAGTTAACTCAGATTTTTATGCAGTTGAAACGTTTGCCTACGTTTGCCGTTAGGGGCGCTGCATACACTAAGCGCATTGAAGAGCATTGGGTGTATCCGTCAGGTTTGAGCCCTGTGAGCTCACCTACTAGTTAAGGTTATGCTGAAATAGCCTCTCAAGGCTCTCAGCTTAGGTAGGAAAAAGAGGGTGTATGCCACATATGGAAACACTTTCCTAGTTGATGCTGTTTGCATATTAAAAATGTTTGGGAGAGAGCTCAAGCTTGCTTAGCTGCGAATGTCTAGTTGAAATGATAACTGTGTTTGTAATATATTTTACAGTAAAAGCACATTAATCTTTTTTATTATTATTGTATAGTTGGGTGGACGAGCTCACAGCCCACCTGGTGTTAAGTGGTTACTGGAGCCCATAGACATCCACAACGTAAATGTCGCCACTCACCTTCAGATATGAGTTCTAAGGTCTCAGTAACAACGGCTGCCCCACCCTTCAAACCAAAACCGCATTACTGCTTCACGGCAGAAATAGGCAGGGTGGTGGTACCTACCCGCGCGGACTCACAAGAGGTTCTACCATCCACATCGCGGGACATATGGTTCGTAAATACTCCGCGAATACGGAAACTATGAATATGGTATCGTAATTTACGTATGATATTGGATTATAGGGGATACGTTCCTAGGTGACATCATTTAACAACATACTTTAGGCATAATTGTAATAAGGTCTATTTTACTTTTTTATTAGTCTATTTAATGACGTTTACGAGGGATATTCAGTTGGATAACTAACTACATACTCTAACGTATTGGAATCCTTTTTATCAACGTATATGTCGGCGTTAAGCCAGGATTTACACACATAAGTTCTTTTACAATGAAAATACAATACAATTCTATAAAACTTTAACATTACTTGTTTACAACAAAAAGCCACGCCTGAGTTATTCAGTGGTTTTTACACAATTAGCCATTTTGTGTTGGTTATAGCAACTACAACTTCTTTTATACAAACAAATGTAATTACTGCGAAACAATTCACAAAACATAGCTTAATATTCAAAATACATATTTTAGTGATTTTACATGACTCACATTTAATTTATTTTACATGAATTACTTTTAAGTAATATTAACTAACATTGTTATTATCCAGCCTAATAATAGATGGCGCCAACAACATCATTGCATAACAATTACAATACTTAATTAAATTATTAGTACTGTTAATTATAATATAAATTATTATTAATATTTATGCTTTATTCATATTTAATCATTTATACAGTTATTTGTGTTTTTAAACAATAATATAAACATTAAACATATTCTGAACATTTTCACATCAAAACAGTGTCTGCTAATTATTAAATATGGTAGAATAACAGCTTAAGCTAATAATAAATAAATATTAACATATAATAAACTAAACTATATATTATTATGTTAATTATTGCCAACAGTGGCGTTTGCGCCCATATATATGTACCGATTAGATCGGCGAATAAATAAATATTTAGCCGCGAAAGTAGGAATAGGATCGCATTTTTTTAATATCCGCGAATACATATAATATCGTTGTCTTTGCAACATTTATTTTTTATTTTTTACCAGTTTCATTATCTGTCTTTTAAAGTAAGATAAAATTGTGTATTAATTTTGTGTTAATAGTCGTCAAAACATAGGTAAACTAAAAAAAAAAAAAACTAAAACTAAACTTCACTCTTTTGACAGTATTTATGAGAAAAATACTGGTGATACCAAATGATTCCGCGTATCGGACTCAATTTCGAATATTTTTGGAAATTGTACACTTTTAATGCGAAAAGACGATATGTAGTGAAAACGGGAATGAAGGAAGCCCGAACTAGGAGCTTGTACTCTATTCAAAATGAAATAGCGTTTAATTATTATTATTATTTTGTTCCTTCCTAAGCTGATAGCCTTGAGAGGCTATATCAGCGTCGCCTTAACTAGTAGGTGAGCTCACGGGGCTCAAACCCTGATGACGTTGCTAACACAAACCCTAGCAAGAGCCGTGCTTCGCAGAATCTACCACTGGATCGGAAACGCGACCCACTGAGAAGATCCGGCGAGAAACTCAGTGGGCTAACGTTTAACCTAAAATGTCTCGTCTTTATATTAGTTTATTAAAACATCTAAAATATTGAAACGTAAACAAACAGCTAAAATCAAATTAGAAAGTAATTGCTTGAACACAATTCAAAAGCACATTTAATTTAAAGTGTCATTCATTGGAACAAACAATGTTATTGAATACAAAGATGACGTTGCGAGAGCTAAAGATGCATACGTATAAAATTAACATTTTTAAAGATGAATCGTATGTCCATTTCTTCGCTATAAATAAAAATGAAATCCTGTTCGTTGGTAATCCGATCATTTCAAAACCATTGGATAAATTTGCCTATTTTTTATCTTAGAAACTTCGTAACAGTCCAAACAAGGTACTTATGGTACTAATGGAAATGGACTGGACAACATTTCTCACCTTTAGAATTATAGAGACCCATTTCGAAATTTTTGGATTTCGACTTTAATTAAAAAATGGACGACGCTTTTCAGCGACACTTAATCAAATGACCAAAAGTGGCTTATAAAGGGAAACTTATCCTCCTTCTTATCACTCCGTCCCCTTCCTCTACTTCTTTTCGGTTTGAAAACTTTATTTGATGTTTTCCAAAAAAAAAAGTGTGTGTGTCCGCTCCGACGCACGACTGGAGTTTACTGGATATAAAAAATTAAACGAAACAATACGAGAAATAGTTCTATATTACGACAACACGATACACTACAGATTATTAACAAATTAACGAGACACAAAACAAACGACTAACAAATATATGAAAATACAATAATGAGAGAAACGCGCGATCAGTACGAGGCTTTGTGGCGGACTGCCGGCGCAGCAGCCCGGCGTCACCTGCGATAACGCATTTCGTGTGACATGCGCAATCAGGCGCATAACGCATTTCGTGTGACATGCTAGTACGATTTTGGTCCCCATAATTTTCATACCCCGGGCCTATATATGTAAATCGATTCTAAAGGAGTAAACTCCAAAAACTCATTTTTTGGATTGTGTGTCTATAATTCTAAACATGCGATGTGTCCAGTCAGCGAGTTCAAAATAAATAGGCACAAACAAAGCAGTTGTGCGTCGTTAACTCTTCCACCGTTTGTCAACCGATTTTCCTTTTTTTAACTATTTAGATACTGACTAATAAATAGACTTAGTAAATTAACTGATAGAACTTTTTGGTAAGTTGTGGTAAGTTTGGGTAAGTTGGTAGAGTTCTTAGGTGAATATGTCCTTAATGCGACGTACTTATGACTTCCACGATAAAATAATAAATGTGGTGTAGTAATAAAAGTACGCTACATTATAAAAGTTAAAAACAAACATGTAAGTAGTAAAATGCTTCGATCACCCAAATAAAATAAAAATAAAGCTTAAAATATGTAACATGTTATTTAGTTTCTTAAAATATAACATTATAAAAAAAACTATATTTCTGGAATTTCATATAAAATAAAATAAAAATATATTTTCGTAAATCATTAGTTACACCCCTTGTGTACTCGAGCCGTCTTCATTACGAGAGCGGTCTAGTTCAGTGACGTGTACAATTGGAACGCGGCCAATTCTGAAATATCGATACCGCACTCGGGCGCGAAACAACACCACCTCAATCGCAACGTGGTCGAGGTCTAGACGTTCGCGGCGACCCGCGCCTCTGTGTGCGTGCGTGCGTGCGTACACGGCGCACACGTGCACGCGCTCAGTTCGAACGTTTGTTGCATTAGTGTGTCGTACGTGTCGATGAGTAACACACAACGAACGGCTCACAAGGATTTTTTAATATTGATTATACGTTGAAAATTACTGCACCTTGAACTTATTATGGCCGGTAAGCGAGTTTGTTTAGTATTCCCTGAGGTATCCGCGTGGCCCCGATCGGATTGAAATTTAAAATTAAATCTAGAGTTTCTCATTTTTGTTTCATTATTCGCGATGCATCGAAGACTAGCGTTTCCGCGAACACCGCCAAATACGGTAAAACGAATGTAATTATCGGGAGCCTTAACCCGCAATAAAAGTATATTATTAGTATCTTTTAACGTATGTCTATATAAATTATTGTTGTTTGAAATAAATTACGGTAAATATTGTATTCTGTGTCTCAATTTATTATTTAGAAGCGTAATACTGACCTCGAAGCGTACGATATGTCTTATCAGCGTTTACAAAATATTTGTCGGGCTCGATTCGTGTGTAGAATGTCCGAAGCGACTTCGAAGCGGTAAATGTAATTTGATATTACGCATTTATGATCGTTGAATTGTATAAAATCTACAAGGTCGAATTTACAATACATGGAACTACATGACAATCGATATACATTTGATATTCAATATTATTATACTTTTTTTTTTTCAAATATAGAAAGCTGTCCTTTTTTGTTTTTTGGTTAATTTAAGTAGCACACATCTGCAATGTGTGCGTTAGTTTGAATTGCGATATAAAGAGATATAATTTAAGAAATTAAAAGCATGACCTCAAAAAGCATTAGTCAATTGACAGCATACCGCGAATGCATCGCCTTTTAGGCATGAGAACCGCAATATAATTGTCAAAGGCTCCGCTAATGTGATTGGAGCATTTTGTTGTTTATACATATCGGTGTTAATTCATAACAGAACTATAAGGTAACGTGTCTGTAGTGGAATGATCAGTGTTGCAATTGTTCAATTTGCCTGAGCTGTCACGTGGTGTGTTAGGTAATAACCCTTTGGTCGGGCGATTATGTCACAGACAGGGCATGCGGAGGCTGATAAAGTTAAAGCATAGGTTTTTATTTATTTATTCTATTACTGTTTCCTTCCCCAAACATTAGCACGAAAGGGATAGCTTCATCTCGGTCTAAAAATACCTATGAAAAAAACAGAAACAAACACTTTGTTTTGTTTGTTTGTCTAAAAGTAGAGCAATTTCATTTTAGAGATCTCCCTGTTTTTTGACTGTGATTCTTTACAGTAATCTGTTTGCTTAAAAAAATCCGGAAAATCCGGTTTGCTTAAAAATCCGGAAAATTATAATAAAAGTCTCGGTAAATAATATAAAACAAACAACAGACAGTAATGATTACTCCACAATGCGAATGAGTATGCGTTCGGTGTGCTCAGTGCGAGTTTTCTATCGTTCTCGATATCGTAGAAGTTAACTCAAATTTGTATTCAGTTGGAACAGCGCCCCTAGCGGCAAACGTAAGCAAACGTTCCAACTCCATGCAAATTTGAGTTGACTTTTACGCTATCGAGAAAGATAAAAGATTCGCACTAAGCACGCAGTTGTCACGTGTGTCCGTAAAGCTAAAATAACCAAATTAGTACTGGTGACTCCGCAATAAAATATGTATGTATGTATGTTTGTAATATATTTATTCATAAAAAGTTACACTTACATTCAAAACATGCCCCGCAAAACTGCTTACGCAGTTTGACTGCAGGTAACTCGCTTTATACAAACATAGCGTATAAACCATTCAACTAGCTTATACTATAATAACAAAATTAATTTACGTAAATGGTTACAACGTATTTAACAAATGTTTTTTTAATAAGCTTTTAAATTTAGCAAGTATAGGCTCACGTCTTATGTCCTCGGGTAAACTGTTGAGTAAGTATGGAACACGTTTTTTTAACGTTCTATCTCCATAGTAATTTTGTACCATGGGTATTTCAAATTTTCCTTTGGACATTGACCTTGTGCCAGTTACTTCTCACACGTTTGAGGCATCGTCTAATGAGCTTGTTAATTAATTAGTTGTAGCTCATATTCAATTAATCGTGAACGTATTTGAGAATGTATTCTTTTATTTGTATTGTTATTATTACAGAAAATGAGCACGGTGGTAACGCATTGTTGCTATGCTCGTTTTCTCTATAGTCATGTTCTACGGTAAATACATATTTTTGCGAAATTTTACTAATCAATACGAAAAAAGTAATAGACATCTTGTAACAGACATCAGGACGTTTATTATCTAGTATTTGTAAACTATCGAAACGTCGGAGGTAATAGGACTTTACGAAAGTTAGAAGATGTCTGGATATTGATCTGTCCTCGGTGCTTTTATGTACCTCAAGCACCGGTTATCATTCTGGTCGAACCCGTCGCTAGCGACGAAGGGCTCGACGAGTAAATTAACCCTCAGACACAGCCCACTGAGTTTCTCGCCGAATCTTCTCAGTGGGTCGCGTTTCCGATCCGGTGGTAGATTCTGCGAAGCATGGCTCTTGCTAGGGTTCGTGTTAGCAACAGTCCCCGAGCCCTGTGAGCTCACCTACTAGTTAAGGCGACGCTGATATAGCCTCTCAAGGCTATCAGCTTAGGTAGGAAAAAAAAAGATCTGTCCGTGATAAATTTGATGTAAAAATTTGTTGGTAAAATAATGAGGATTGAAGTAAATAAATATTGTCGTAGTTCCACTAGCCGGCAACGTGAAGGGCAGGCAAGGTAAGCGCAGGCCCGCGGTCGGCAGCGCGGCCGAGACCGGGGCTCCCATCGGCAAGAAAGGCCGCAACGCCGATGTCACCGCTCTGAAGCTGCCCTCGCACGGCTACCCCACCGAGCATCCCTTCAACAAAGACGGTTACAGATACATCTTGGCGGAACCAGACCCGCACGCGCCCTTCAGACAGGTGAGGAAAACGAATAGTGATCTAAATGTTTTTGGCTAGTTTTAACAATGAGTGCATAATAGCTAGTGTTTTTGTCTGCAGATTCTTTAGATATAATTTATACTGGTGGTAGGACCACTTGTGAGTCTGCGCGGGTAGGTACTACAACCTCGCCTATTTCTGCCGTGAAGCAGTAATGCGTTTCGGTTTGAAGGGTGGGGCAGCCGTTGTAACTATACTTTTTAGAGATTTCAAGGTGGGTGGCGCATTTACGTTGTGGATGTCTATGGGCTCCAGAAACCACTTAACACCAGGTGGGCTGTGAGTTCGTCCACCCATCTAAGCAATAAAAAAAAAAAAACATCCAAAGTTAGGCAGTTGAGATTTGTTATTAGTTTTATAGATATGAGTGTGTGAGTGTCACTCTGAAGGGTAGTCGACAGTTGCACGTAGTACGTTTGCACTTGTCAGCAGAGGCGAATTATCCGTAAGGTAAACTAGGTACGTACCTAGGGGCGGGTAGTTACAAGCGGCGCGCGAGCTCAGAATTTTTAAATAAATAACGAAAATAACATATCGACGATTAAGAAGTAAACGCATGAACTAAATGTCTTGGTCTACTAAAGTCTAGAGTTTGATGATACAACGTCATCGTAATTGTAATTGTAAAAACAACTAGCTAAAATTTATAGTATTATTATGGTCATTTATGGCCGGTACAGGGGCGCCAATAAAGTGATCGCCTAGGGCGCTCTGGACCTTTAATCTGCCACTGCTTGTCAGTAAGTGTGAGTGCGGGGTCTTCAGGAGTTCGACGAGAGCAACGAGTGGAGCGGCAAGCCGATCCCGGGCTGGCTGTACCGGCCGCTGTGCCCGGGCGGCGTGCTGCTGGCGCTGCACGACCGCGCGCCGCAGCTGCGCGTGGCCGAGGACCGGCTGGCCGTCACGGGCGACCGCGGCTACTGCACGGTGCGCGCCACGCACGGTCAGCATCATCCACTCACACGCGCTTTACTTTTTAATATGTGTTTTAAGTCTTTTAGAAATAGGTTCGTCTTTCGTGTACTGGTGGTAGGACCTCTTGTGAGTCCGCGCGGGTAGGTACCACCGCTCCGCCTATTTCTGCCGTGAAGCAGTAATGCATTTCGGTTCGAAGGGTGGGGCAGCCGTTGTAACTATACTGAGACCTTTTACTTATATCTCAAGATGGGTGGCGGCATTTACGTTGTGCATGTTTATGGGCTTCAGTAACCCCTTGAAACCAGGTGAGCCGTGAGATCGTCCATCCACATAAGCAATTAAAAAAAATGGGTACTAGATATTCCGGCGCCTTAATAACAGTGTGCTTAGTGTGAATTTTTTAACGTTCTCGATCGCGTAAAAGCTATGTAACTTAAATTTGTATGGAGTTGGAACAGCGCCCCTAGCGGCAAACGAAGGGAAGGAGTAACACAGAAATCGACATAATTACTTCAGAGCGCCACGTGGGCACCGGTGATCTACATGGTAGTCAATGTAGTAAGGGAGCCATAGAGCCATTTGGCTACGGAACCCTAAAAACAAATCTTTCGATTTCGTATAAGGTATTGATGTTTGAGTACCGTAGGTTGGGGGGAATCGGGACCCTTTCCAAATCCAACACAAATTTTCAATGATTTTTCTTAGGGATTAAAATGGTTCCGGGGGCTTACATTTTTATATACGATGCGTTATTATAAATAGTTCATTAAAAAATGTACATAAGACTAGCTTGAACCGATTCACCTTAGCTTTGGTGTGAATCAGGCTACGTATGGGGACAATAGAGTTTTTCTATAGGGCTGGCACTATTTAGTTTATTTATTAATTACCTAAATTAGGTACCTACCTAAGGTACCTAACTTTAGGTAATTAAATTTTAATATCTTTACTGACTTACAAAACTTACATGACTAAATTAAAGTATTTAATATTCTTAAACACTAAATTAAAGTTATTTTCAGTTCAACAAAGTTAAATCTAACAACTCAACAAATGTATTGAGACATCCCAGATTTGTCCCTATTCTACCTCTAGTCCCTGTTCTTTTTTTTTTGTTTAGAAGGGTGGACAAGCTCACAGCCCACCTGGTGTTAAGTGGTTACTGGAGCCCATAGACATTTACAACGTAAATGCGCAACCCACCTTGAGATATAAGTTTTAAGGTCTCAGTATAGTTACAACGGCTGCCCCACCCTTCAAACCGAGACGCATTACTGCTTCACGGTAGAAATAGGCAGGGTGGTGGTACCTACCCGCCCGGACTCATAAGAGGTCCTACCACCAGTAATTACGCAAATTATAATTTTGCGGGTTTGATTTTTATTACACGATGTTATTCCTTCACCTTCAATCACCGAAGTCAATCGTGAACAATTGCTAAGTACGTATTTCATTAAAAAAATCGGGGTCTACCAGCGGGATTCGAACGCTGTTGCGTCGCTAGATACGAATGCACCGGACGTCTTATCCTTTAGGCCACGACGACTACATTCCCGCCCAATGTACTGTACGCGACTTGTAAAGTAAGATCTCATCGTATTTAGGGACCGTATTATTATTTGGTATGTTTGCCCAGCTGTGCGGCCACTGCGCCGTCAGTATGTGTCCGCAGTAGTCCGCACATGTTCACATCCCAGTATCTATCGCAGCCTTGGCACGTACATACAAAAAACCCATAAACATAAAAATTTTGCAATACTCCATACGGGTGTCTGTATTATTTTTTAACAATATCTATGTAACGTTTCCAGACACAATATTAATTAGATTATTCCATGTGCTCACGATGTATTAAGTTTCGTACTCCAATATTAAGGTAATAAAAGTATTCTTTCAGAAAATATAAATATAACATTAACTGAATATAATAGGGCCCAATAAGGAGGTTGCCGGTTGAGTATTTTTTTGAGCGGTGAGGTCTAATCGGCGGATTGTCACACTGGCTGGGGCTGTGGTGGGAGTTGAACCCTAACTTAGCAAATCGTTCGTTGCCATTCAATCCAAACGTGCGGTCCCCACCCCGGAGACGAACTAGGAAAGAGTAGGGGCGTGGGACACCGCTGGCACGTGTAGCCATGGTAGTCCCACGGTCTTGTAAGCAGTGTCACATGCATCTATTATAATTAAAACAACTTTTACGGTTTTCTTTTTGTTTTTCTTAAATTCAAATACTCGCTAAAGGAAATCAATGAACTTCACGCCAATCCCACCTTTAATAGAGAAGATATCTAGTGCTTATCGAATATTTGGGATCCTCTTGTGGTGAACATGAAAACACGTCAAATTAATTGTTCGTTTTATGTGAAATGAAATGTACAAGCCTAGAAATATATAACTGAAACTAGACGTTAGTTAGAACAATATTCAAATATCGTCAAATAACAACGCAGTTGTCTGTGACAACTAAAATTGTATAGTGTTAGAAACTTTGAAAATAATATAATGATAATAGAAAAGCGAGAATAAACTGCGAAAGTAGTTTTTGCGAATAACTCGCAGAAACTTAACCTTGCTGCCTTTTTCTTAAGGGTTTTATGACCTGGTAACCTAAGACTAAATAAGACCTTTAGGTCAAGTCTTATTTTAATTTATATTCTTATTGTTATGAAAAATGATAATATGGAGTGAAATGAAATGAAATGAAGATGATTAATTTGAGACATTAATAAACTGAGATGAAATGAAATGGTGTCGGGTGCAGGCGTGTCGCGCGGCAGCTGGTACTGGGAGGCGTGCGTGGAGGAGCTGCCGGAGGGCGCGGGGGTGCGCGCGGGGTGGGGCCGCCGCGTGGCCAACCTGCAGGCGCCGCTCGGCTACGACAAGTTCGGCTACTCGTGGCGGAGTCGCAAGGGGACCAGGTACAATCGAACACAAAAATCGTTTGCGTTACGGACATATAAAAATAATATCTCATACTATAACCCTATGGTAAGAATGGTCAGGCAGTATAATGATTTCGCTAAATGTCACGGTAACCTTGATATCTTTGAACCTAGACTCAGGGGATTTGTCAAATGTATGAAGAATATCCTATTTCACAATGGCTAGTTATATTTTTTTTAAATTCAATTGTGTTTTCAATAGCCAGAGCTATGCACATTAATATGGTTTTGCTGAGTGCACATACTATTTAGATTGCAATCCAAATTAGATCTAGGTAGTACTTGTACGATTTAGCCAATATGTACTGTAATGATTGTAATTTGTTTTGTCTCCTCGAAACGTGACTTCTAAGGGCTCAGTTTTTGCAGTAAAACAGCTGCCTCACCCTTCAAGCCGAACTGCATTACTTCTTCTCGGCAGAAATAGGCAGGGTGTGGGTACCTACCCGTGCGGACTCACGAGACGTTCTGCCATCAGGTTTGCAAATGCTAGTGAACTGTGCAGGTTCCACGAGTCCCGAGGCAAGCACTACAGCGGCGCGTACGGCGAGGGCGACACGCTGGGCTTCCTCATCGTGCTGCCGGACTGCGCCTCCACCAAGTTCACGCCCAACACCTACAAGGACCGGGTGAGGCTGTCATCTCGCACACTCGTAGGGACCTCACAACTCAGCTGAATATAATATTTAATCAAATTTTTTTTTTCCAAAACTAAACTGAATAATCCTTTTTGTGTCCTGATAAGAGAATTCTTAGAATTTTTACAAATGGTGTCATAGTATTGCACCATTTTAGAATTGTGATGCGTTGCGCTAACTTTTGTAATAACATGCCATAGTGCATTTTATACATTTTTTTTACAAAGTAGCATGTCAAAAATTGATTAAAAATTAAAATATTCTAAAATTTCAAGAAAATGTATTGGTTATTTAGTTTTTATATTAATAACTACGAATCTTTTGGTCCCATTTGGAACCGCAATTAATAGTCATGTTACTTAGGTAGCTAATACAAAAAAAAAATGGGGATATGTTCACATTTGTAACCACAGTAATCAAATCATATGGTGTAGGGTATCAAATTACAATATTTTTCAAAAAACTCAACAAGTTGAAGTAACTTTATTTTTTTATTATTTTTCCATGGGTAGTTATTGACCCGACCATACACAGGTACTGGCTTATCGTTGAAATTTGGGACACGTTGTATAAGTTCAGGCTTGTAGATCGCGGGAACTCCGACGGACCCGCGCGCGGCCACTTACTACTTGCTCTGCTCCCATTATGCTGCAAAAAGTATTTAAGAGCATTTTATGTTTTCTCGCCAGCCTCTAGTCAAATTCAAGAGCCACCTGTACTACGAGGACAAGGACAACATCCAGGAGTGCCTCAACAACCTGAAGCAGCTCCCCGGCAGCAAGATCATATTCTTCAAGAACGGCGAGTGCCAGGGCGAGGCCTTCACCGACATCTACCGCGGCTGCTACTACCCCGCCGTCTCCCTGCACCGCACCGCCACCCTCAGCGTCAACTTCGGGCCCAGCTTCAAGTACCAGCCCTCCACGCACTACCCCTACAGACCTGTGAGATATACCGCTGAATCATAGCCAATCTATTGAAGGAGTGGACACTTAATCTATAGTACATACAGTACAGTATAGTAGTAACAGTACAGTATAGTAGTAACAGTATAGTATAGTATAGTAGTAACAGTACAATACAGTAGTAACAGTACAGTACAGTATAGTAGTAACAGTACAGTACAGTAGTAATTCAGTGACGACCTTTCAATTCACTTTTTTAGTTCAGATGTGAGTGACTGAGCTGCCCGCTTACTAGGTGTCAACTGGTTACTGGAGTCCATAAACATATTGAGTCTCTACATCGGGCAAGGATTAATAAGACATATGTTCAGTTAAGTGATTAAAATGTATTCGGATTACAACCTAAGATGGTATCGATAGCAGGCTATCGACAGACTGACAATCCTGAGACTGATATAACATCACTGCAATATAATTATCAGTAACACATACATATTAATAGATGCTGTGGGAACATTTGTGGTCCCTACAAACATATCAATTTGAATTGGATGTAAAAAATAAAGTACAAATTATGTGTTCACCTAAATCGTGAGATAAAAATACATACCTAGTTATGGTTTTTCGTTACAGATGTCAGAAAAAGCGGAAGAAGCAATATGTGAACAAACGATGGCCGACATGCTGTATCTGACCGAGAACGAGGGCAAGCTGCGCCTGGACAACTTCAACATTTGATACAACTAACGCCGCTGAGGCGAAATTGTTTTGCATTTAATCTTGTTTAACTTAAGAATTAAACGGCGCTCTAGAATTGTCCTACATACGACACAAAAGTGTGCTCAACTATTATAGTAGACAGCGGCTCGCCCCTGGTGCTATTGATGTCCAAGAGCAACAGCGACCACTTACCTTCAAGCTTATAAGGGGATCTTATGAGCGGATACTTGTGCATCTCGTCAGTCTGTATACTCATCATGGTAATATAGATAGATCACCTCTCTGTCTATCAGCCTTCACTGCGGAGTGCTGCAAGGTAGCCTTAGTAGTGAAATCAAGGTGCAGAAGGCATCCATGTTGAAGTACAATTTGTGTGTTGTTAATTATTGTCTATAAAAACGATACAGGATACGAGTGAAAGCTCACCTTGCAACGCGTGCGAATAGGCATGATGACTAATTTTCAAAATCTATTCTATGATATTCAGAAGTGTCTATTAAATCAAAAATATATCATATTTCTGTGGAAAATAAAGGTTTTCATGAAATAAAATGAAATTAAAATTTAAAGTTTCTATTTCGCGCTAAAACGCTGTTCAGTGTCATGGCGTCTGTCATTACGTCACGGCTCAGTAAACTTCAGTATATACCTACGTCAATAGTAAACATTAGATGCTTGTATAATAAATCATTTTGCATAATAAATATGAATTCAAAAGTGTTCATGTGGTGTGTGGTTCCTCAGTGCAATAATAAATTTATAAAAACTCCGAACAACTTAATTTGTTTACGTCCCAAATAACAAAACAATGAGAAATAAATGGTTGATTCTTGTACACGACCCGGTCTGTATGGCTGTTTCCGAGTCGTGTAATAATATTTTTTGCTGTCTGTTTGTGCGCTGGTAGAAGACGGCTGTTTCTTTCGATGGGTATCGGCTTCTGTAGCGAGGTTTCACAGGTAATTGTCTGGTTCACTGGTAGCTGATTCACTGGTGGTTTTCTGATAACTGTACTATTGGAGAACTGCTGGTAACTGTTTCTGTCTTGCTGATGTTTCTTTGTCGGAGAGCTTCTGAGAACTGTTTCTGTCTTGATGATCTGCTGAGAACTGTTTCTTGATGTTTCTATGTCGGAGATTCGCTGAGAACTGTTTCTGTGTTGATGGTCTGTTGAGAACTGTTTCTGTCGAAGATCCACTGAGAACTGTTTCTGTATTGATGATCTGCTGAGAACTGTTTCTTTCTTGATGTTTCTATGTCGGAGATCCGCTGAGAACTGTTTGTTTCTATGATGTTTCTATGTCGGAGATCCGCTGAGAACTGTTTTTGCCTATAAATGGCCATCCTTTTATATTTATTTCAGTACCCCATCTCGCGACGCGCTATCGACGCGTCACTTTCGGAGGGTCCCTTGATCTGTATGTTACCGTAGTGAAAGCGCTCCACGAATTGTTCCTATTGGTCTATTCACATTCTCTGATCTGATACACTAACATATTGCATATTAAATAATTTAAGATTATACATTTTTGTTACATAATTACTTATTAACTATATTATTTCTATTTGTTTGATAAAATCCTATTTCGTCCTGCACAATTCTCTTGCACAACGAGATCCAACAAGTTTAAGTCTAAAAATTTCAATTTATTTCTGTGAAGATCATTTTGATGTAAGTTTGTACATATTTCGTAAATTCTACAATGATGTGTGACCTTAATTGAGGTCTAAAATTTCATAAGTTCAATATTTTTTGAGATTACAGTTTATCTCTTGAATAACCGGTAATCTTAAGCAAATCAGCTGGTCTGTACATACATATGTTTATGTAAAATAGTTTTTGTTCAATAGATGTGCATTGAATTCTTATAATAATAGATTTTCACAAATTGTAATAAAGTTAAGTATTTTGCATAGAATTTAAGACTAACATACCAATGTTTAATCATGAACGTAATATTATATAGCGATCGTCGGGCCCTTCGGATTGGTTCGTATGACAGTGTCGCGTCAAAAATAGGCGGGGTGGTGGTACCTACTCCAGAAGGCCTACTGTATGCTTTATCACTGGTTAGCATTTAGATAAATGTTAGTTTTCTAAAATAGTATATTATTTTCTATAAATGCTTAGCAGCTGATTGTATAAGTGTAGTTACAAAAATGGTATTTTTCAAAACTATTTTTAGGGATATAGTGTAGCTTTTATATTGTCACAGAAGGCAAATTCTGATTTCTGATTGAAGCTCTGGCTTGTTGTATGAAGTAGTTTTATTTCATAGACAACAACTATACAAAGAAAATAACTAATGAATGAAAATAAATTCTACATTTACAAATACATCAAATTTGGAATGATTTATTATACATAGTCACAGTTCTTCCACCTCCTGGGAGTTTTCTTATATGCCATCTGATTTTTAGACAGAGGCTCCACATAAAAATTTCAGTAAATATAGCGTAGGTGAAAAACCAAATATAATTACCGATTATAATTCATTTTGAGTTAATTTGTTCAGATCACAAACTGTAACAAAACAATATTAAGATCTTTCTTCCATGTCAAATCTGTGTTATGTGTCTCTTCAGTGTTATCGACCTTACTGTTATGGGAAGGATATTGTGGAGTCTGGTCATTGATTTATATTGCATAATTTCAAATATGTTTAGTAATTTAGAAACCTGATAATTATTTTGTGCATTGTAAAAGGGATATAATAAATTAGAAAATACATTTTGTAAATTAAACTATGTTTATAATAAACATTCAAGCAGACATCAGTAACCAGACTGTGATGTTTAACTGCATCTGGATATTTGGAATTTTACAGGACTAGATCAAATAAATAAAAAATGTAACTAAGGATTTTATTTTATTTTAATAACACAACAATGAATAATAATCAATAATTATAAATAACCTTTTTAAATCATAGTAGTAACAACCATCTTTACACCACGCAATACAATTTACACCACACACAACCACAGATTTTTTCTGTTGTCTTAGTCAATAACTAGACAATTGGTCTAGGCTTGATCAACTATGTGACATCAAAAGCATTGATGACTTATAGTTTATTTACCAAATCCTCCTCTACAGTTGGGACTGTTCTCAACCAGTTTATCACTTTCCTCCCATTGTTTAGGTGTTTTTGCTACTATTGATAGTGCATGTACACCATTTTGAAGTTCTTCTGCCAGTAGTTCATTGACTAAACGATGTCTCTGGAATTAGTTTTTAAATAATATATTTGTTGAATTTGAATATAAAAATGCATCCACTGATATGCCATGAGTAAGACAACCAGTTTACTTATATGAAGTGCCGTAATTTTCTTGGAGATTAAACCCTATAGATAAATCGAAACTGTATGTAGGCAGTGTCGTTTGCATTGTGATTTTGATAAGTTTTAAAACAATGTTAGTAGGCCTTTCAGATTTATAAGAAGTTAAAATTCATTTAGTTTGAGGTCTGATACTGGCATGATACTACAAATATATTAAATTAATAATTTAATTTTTTTGTTAACTCAAATGGTAGGAAAAAAAGGAACATTTCTGCTAGTATTAAGGGCAAAGTCAGACAACTCACTTTTATAAGAGGTAAACCATCAAATTTTTCTGAAACAACTACTACTTTGAAGTGTGTTTCAGCTCCTTTCGGTACATTGTGCATGTAGGATTCATTTATCACCTGGACATGCTTTGATTCTAAAATTGTTAATAATTTATTTCTTATTGTACTTTCGACTATTCCTGATGCGGATGACATGTTTCTGATTGTTCCTGGAATGTATTAGTGAACCACAAAAGTTACAGTGAATTAAGAAAATCAGTTTCCTCAAATCTATTAGCAGCGTATTTTAGTGTAGTGGAGACGTGTCTTATATAGTTTAAAGTTGTTATATTGAGAATGGAATTGACAGAATTTGTTAAAAAGCTTTATCACATTAACAAGATAAGCTTGTAGTACATATTTATGGGTTAAAACGACAATATTCGGACAGTTGATTTACTGACTATAATCAACCGCTTGATGGAAATCTCTCCCTTGGTCTTTTCCACTTACGTTTGTTCTTAGGTGTTTTTGTCTATCAGATACTTTTGGTCTTGTTTTAACGCCTTCATAAATTATATACTTTTTTGCTGCCACAGTAACCCGAATTGGATGCTAGTTAGCGACAGGGTGACGTATTAATTTAAAATAAAAGGTTTATTTGGTACATATTATAATATTTAATATCGAGTACTTTTATATAAAGAGCATACAAGAAGCGGCACTTACGGTGTTGAAAAAATCTCAACATAGATATAAAACGATACGATTTTAAGAATAAAATTTATTAGTTACGTATGTATGTACCTATGTGTTTTATAAACTTTTTCTTCTTTTACAAATGTTTTTGAAATGTTTCTGGTTTTGGCACTTTTGACAGTAATTGTAGTTCCATTTTTCCAAATGAAACGGCGAAGATATCACATCATACAGCCAAATCTTTTGTATATGTTTTATGAAATGATACGGTGTGAAAAATGAAATGAATAAAATAAATTCTCAGTACAGTAGTGGCTTTTTCAAATACCTTAACGGATTTTTTGGAAGAGTGAGAAGCCACGTCCAGCAACTTTGTTTCATTTTCCCACAATTGAGCACTTTCACAGATGCAAAATAGTTAATATAACCCAAGTTATTTCGTTACATTTTCACACAACTACAATCTTCTCGTTCACGCCTTTAAGTTTGTTTTTGACAATTGCGTTTTTTACAGAGTACCTTTGTTCCCCTATTCGCTGGTAGCATAAGAGGCAAATCCAGTTACATTGAGGACTTTTTGGCGGGAACGCGTAGAGTGAAGTTGTGTGATTTGTTTTATTTTGTCTATTTAGTGTTTCTTCAGGATTAAATGTGTAATAACGGTGGTTTATTAACTGTTTAGTATCTGTGAAAGTGCACAAATGTGGGAAAATGAAACAAAGCCGCTGAACGTAACTTCTCGGGATCCTCCAAAAAGTCCCAGCAAATGACAGATAATGAATATTATCTCGTCTCATCTCGTCTCCTTTTTCATTTCATTTCATAATATTATTTTTCACATAAAAAAGTTTTCATTAAAATTAAAATAAGACTTGATCTAAAGGTCTTAGTTACCAGGTCATAAAATCCCTTAAAAAAAACCAGCTACGCCCTGACGGGTGCTTGAGGGTCCTAAAATCACCAAGAACGAATCCGGGAGATCCGACAAGACATGTTTCGGTTGACAGCGGCTTTGCGTTGCTCCGTCGCGGTCGGATAAGTTTTTTTTATTTCTTTAGATGGGTGGACGATCTTACAGCCCACCTGGTGTTTAGTGGTTACCGGAGCTCATAGACATCTACAATGTAAATGTCGCCACCGACCTTGAGATATGAGTGCTAAGGGCTTAGTATAGTTACAATGGCTGCCCCGCCCTTCATACCGAAACGCATTAAGTACCTCTTCTCGGCAGAAATAGGCGGGGTGGTGACTCACAAGAGGTTCTACCACCAATAATTACACAAATTATAATTTTGCGGGTTTTGATTTTTATTACACGATGTTATTCCTTCAAGTGGAACTCAATCGTGAACATTTGTTAAGTACGTATTTCCTTAGAAAAATTGGTACCCGCTTGCGGGACTCGAATACCGGTGCATCGCTAGATACGAATACACCGGACGTCTTATCCGTTAGGCCACGATGACTTCATAGTCAGAGTACCTACCAAGAGATGCTTAATGTTAGTATGATGATACGGTTCGACTAGTTTCTTTATTTCCCTACCTATTCGCTGGTAGCCTAGGAGTATAGATAATATGTTATAGTATAGATAATATGCTTAAAAGCGGTATTCCAGCTACGCATGGACGGGTAGGTGAGTTCATCCTGAGAGAATTTGCTTACACTAGCTCCAAACAGAGCAAAGCTTCGCAGAATCTACCACCGTTCTAATAGTAATCTATATTATGTTTTCGCTTGAATAACAGAGGTCAGTGTGAGAAACATGTGCAAACACGGCTAAATATTTGTTAATAATCACATGAATATCTTAAATAATCAAGAATAATGTTACAATGTTTTTGCGCATGACCTTTTTATTGCATAGGTTAAAGAATTCACCGCTCACCGACTGTTAAGTGTGTGTAATGTATTTCTTAAAGTTTGTCCCGCACTAATAGTCGAGATGCCTTCATCTTTAAAGGAGAAATAGTCAAAATCGTGGTTTTTACCACAAGGGTTCAATTGAGTGGTGGCATTCGCGTTGTGAATTCTGTGTGCTCCAGTAAAGAATGTGAGCATCTCAAGCCACGTAGAGCAGCGTGATACCCTTTGCTATGCCCGGGGGTAGCATTCAGACAAATAACTATAAAGCATCACGAGGCATCTTTTAAAACAATTTGGTAACCTGCATTCCTCCAAAAGCTTAGGGAGCTCTCTACCCATTTTTTTACTAAAGTGGACTTAATATCATGTGGCGAATTCAAATTGAGACACAAAATTTACTGGATTTACACAGAACGAAGGAACCGAAATCAATTTGTTTGAAAATTGTTTTTTACGAAGACAAAAGAAGTTTATAAACTCTATAGATCCTTACTGTCTAAAGATCTATAGATCCTAAAAAATTGCATCTTTTACAAATTATTATTTTGTTTTAACTTGCCAAGTCTGTATATTGTTTAGATCTGATTTTGCAAGCTAATTTAGAACCATTTTTATTTATCCGTAAATTTTCAATGACGAAGCCATTAATTACGTTTAGTACGACTATTAAGCGATTATGCTCAAGACAAAGGAAAGTTTTGTATAGATACGTGGGTATATGTTTAAACACCAGTGTGCTTAGTGCGAGTTTTTTAACGTTCTCGATAGCGTAAAAGTTAACTCTTGTATGCAGTTGGAACAGCACCCCTAGCGGCAAACGTAGGCAAACGTTCCAACTCCATACAAATATTAGTTAACTTTTACGCTATCGAGACCGTTAAAAAACTCGCACTAAGCACACTGGTTTCAAAATTCACCATGACATGGTTGCTAGGCCTAGGGTTGAGTCTTGGTTGTAAATTCTTCAACAGGTAGAAGACATATATGAAATGTTGCATATGCACTCAATTAAAACTCATCCAAAACATCATCATTAAAAGCTTGTTTTTAAAAGCGTTTGCTACCATAAATATCTCCTTGTAGATACTTATTTCAATTGTATAATATTATATTAGATGCTTGTGTTACTTCAATAGCAATACGCAATGCCTTTTGATGGACAATTTTGCAACTTAAAAGAAATTCAATATCTTCTTCTCGTCCAATCGTTAAATTTTATAGAAAAAAAGTAAAAGTAATGGCATTGTGTCTTTCCAGAAAAAATACCATAAACCAGCCGTTTTGTCAAAATCGGTTCGGTGTCTGTTCTGTTGAAATATCGCCCAATGACAAATAGTATCAGTTCTTTTTCACTTACACCTCATTTATATCGAATTTATCGCTTAGGGATACCGTAGGAAAAAATCTGTTAAATTTCATAACTTTAATACAGCAATAAAAAAACCTAACCTTTCTAACCTTCTAGGGATAATATTCCTGATGAAGTCGACGTGGCCCAAGGGATAGGACGTCCGGTGCATTCGTGTTGAGCGATGCACCGGTGTTCGAATCCCAAGCGGGTACCAATTTTTCGAATGAAATACGTACTTAACAAATGTTCACGATTGACTTCCACGGTGAAGGAATAACATCGTGTAATAAAAATCAAACCCGCAAAATTATAATTTGCGTAATTACTGGTGGTAGGACCTCTTGTGAGTTCGCACGGGTGGGTACCACCACCCTGCCTATTTCTGCCGTGAAGCAGTAATGCGTTTCGGTTTGAAGGGTGGGGTAGCCGTTGTAACTATACTGAGACCTTAGAACTTATATCCCAAGGTGGGTGGCGCATTTACGTTGTAGATGTCTATGGGCTCCAGTAACCACTTAACACCAGGTGGGCTGTGAGCTCGTCCACCCATCTAAGCAATAAAAAAAAAAAACCCTTTTTTTAATTTGTTTGCTCGTCAACTGAATTTAAGATGGATTTTATAGTTTTAAATATATTATTATGTTTGAAGTTAACAGAATGCTTAGAAAATGTAGACTACGAATTTAAAAACCTATTCTATTTCAGTTAGAAGTTATTTTTAATTGATGTAAATAGCTACGAATTTTACGCTTTTTTTTAAGTCAAGCAACACAATTTCTTTTGTTCCTTTATTCATGGTTGATTGAAATGTACCTAGATATTGGTTTTCTGATTGTGCGTACATACCTTCGTGACTTATTTATCGTAAAATCTTTGGAAACAAACGTAATGGCTTTATTTATGTTTGTAGTTGACAAATTGTGGATTCCGTTGTTTTATTAGTAGACATAGGGACGGGCAAAGGATTATACAATATTACATGATGTTAGTTCATCTGGCCATTATTAAGAAAACATTCAAAACTACTATAATCTAATAGGTATATGCCTTGGGTGATGCGACAGATGATGTCTGGGTTCACATACTAAGGCAAACAAACGTCCGTGATAAACAAAGTTGACTAAAAATAAATAATAGCTTAAAAAAAACTAAAAAAATATGCTTTTATAGAAAATCCAACTAAAAATAGAAAATAAATGGTAAAATTTCAATTAAAAATAGTGTAAGAAAAAATGATTTTATTGTAGAAAAAGCGTGGTAGTTTCTCTTCTTGGTCTTGACGCATACACACCGGGTCTCAGGAAAACAAAAAATCGCTAATCCTGATTATCCTAGTAAGGATAACGGATCAAACTGTTTAAAAATATTTAACTGTCATCGGTCCTGAATAAGTATGACAAATTTCGAGTTAATCCGACGTTTTGAAGGGTATCAAAATCATGTTCAAAGATTCCGTTACATTCTAACATATATACTAACATACGTATGAAGCTAATAAAAGCTAATAATTTTTTTTCGCTTCAATATCAATCAAGTCAATAATAACTTTAAAAAGTAGCACCACTTCGACACCTTGCTATTAGAACGCCAACTTTTAAAGTTCAATTAAGAAGTATAAACAAGGTCTTCAGGTAGTGCATTAGAGGGCAGACAACTGACAGTAAGTTGCGTGCGGATAACGTTCGATCCAGTTGCTGAACAATTCCGACACGCGATTGACAATCACGTAGGGGCAGCACCACATTCACGAGCGTCGCGGGTCAAGTCGAGAACAAAACGCGAATTATAAATTGGAAACGGATTCTAGAAGCCGTTGCTTTGAGATTTGTCTGTTTTTGGCTCGCGAAAAATAGTGCCGAGGAAACGTGAATTGAATATACTGAACTGCACGTGTGAATTCTGGGGACAGTTCGGACCATAAATCGCTCTCCGATCCGTAAAGATAA